GAGCAAAGAACAGCCAAGGTTCTAGCTAGGGAGGAAGCCAGAGGATTCAGGGAGGAGGTGATGCTTAAAGTGGGCCGTAGAGTCTGTCAAATGGATTGCAGGAAGAGAAATCAATCGAGAGAGACCAGCATGTCCAAGACCCCAAGGAGTGAGAAAATGGGGTGCTTGTGGGTTACGGCAAGCTACATGATTTGATGGCGCCCAGCTGGGCAGAATTTCTCTAAGAAATCGATCCCACTTTTAAAATTAGCATCAGTAGTCACACCAGTGAACACACTGCAACATGCCAGATTATCCTAGATTTTGTTCCTTTACAACAAGCATGTCAAATTCAAAGGCTAACACAGGCCCAGTAAACAAGGCTTGAGTTTATGTGGGCCACAAAAAACCAAAAGCTTCAATTTTCATAGAAACATAAATTTATTTTGATAGAGACATGCTGAATACAAAGGACTGAAGTAAATGAGTAATTGTTAACAAAATAATAGAACATTTTAAGTAAATTAATATTTTTATTGAACATTAACTTACCAAGACACTAAAATAACAGCATAAATTAATAAGTGTAATGCAAATAAACCTATTTTTCTTGTTCTCTGAAAGTGAAATATTTCCCATTGCATTCACCAAACAAGTCAGCACAAAACTAATGACATGGCAAGCAGCTGCTAAAATATTCGCTGCTAGTATTAATGGAGAGAAACTGTGCGCCCGCATGTAAGGGAAATGAATGCAACACAATTATGTAGTAATCAGTCATTAATGAATGTTGTAGTTTATTATTAATAACTAGTGGCCCAGTGCACAAAATTGTGCATGGGGGAGGAGGGGTCCCTCAGCCCAGCCTACATCCTCTCCAATTCCTCTCACAATCCAGTACTGCTGGCTCCTAGCCACTCACCTGTCTGCCTGCCTGATTGCTCCAACCACTCTGCCTGCCAGCCTGCTCACCACCGCCTCAACTGCTCCCCCGCCAGCCCGATCACCCCCGACTAATCCCCACTGATGGCCTGCTTGCCCCCACCCCAGATGCCCCCGCCCCCGTCAGCATGCTCATCCCCCAACTGCCCCCCACTCCAGCCTGCTCATTCACAACTGCCCCCCCTGCCAGCCTGATTACCCACAACTGCTGTCCCATCCTGGCCTGATCACCCACAACTGCCCTCGCCTCTTGGCCCCTAACCGCCTCTACCTTGGCCCCACCACCATGGCTTTGTCCAGAAGAACATCCAGAAGAAAGGTCTCCTGAAAGATCTCCCAGACTAATTAGCATATTGCCCTTTTATTAGTATAGATTAGGTGTGTCGAACTCAATCAGAGAAGGGGCCAAAATCTAAAATCCAGCCTAAATCGCGGGCCGAATGGTTTACTGAACAGTCATAAACTGTCATTGTGATGGAAACGCAGCGCGGTGCGGGCCACATTGCAAGGCCTGGCGGGACAGATTTGGCCCGCAGGCCTTGTGTTTGACACATGTGGTGTAGATAGAGGCCTGGTGCATAGGTGGGGGTTGGCTGGTTTGCCCTGAAGGGTGTCCCGGATAAGGATGGGGGTTCCCTTGGGGGAAGGGGCAGCCTGTGCTGGTTTACAGGCTGATCATGCCCCTATGCGTGAGGGGCTGATGGCTGTTTGCAGGCTGACCATGCCTCTCAGCAGGAAGCCTCACCTCCATGGGGGCTTGGCCAGCCTGGGTAAGGGACTGAGAGCTGTTTTCAGGCTGGCCACACCCTCTTCAAGGCGAGGATCCCCGCTGGGGAGCATGGCCAGTCTGGGTAAGGGGCTGTGGGTCATTTTCAGGCTGGCCACACCCCCAGCTGGGACCCTCACCCTGATGGTGGTGTGACCAGCCTGGGTGAGGAGCTGAGGGCCATTTGCAGGCCCCTCCCTCGGTGGCTGGCTGTGCTCAGGCTAGCTCTGGGGCCACCACCCACAGGCTCCTCCTTCAGTGGCCAGCCCAGGGTCCTGCCACACTGCAGGCCTTCAGTGTCTGCACAAAGCTGGAAGCATGACAAGGCTACACTAACTGGCATCCGTGGCCTGGAAGAGGGCATGTTAGGAAGTCTTGGAAGGTTTAACACATTTTGTCCAAAAATGTGGCTCTGAAGAAAGGTCAATCCCAGCAGACTGTTACGGAGCGAGTCCCCAAGAGATGAACCACCGGAGCCAATTTGATTAAGCATGCAAGAATTTATTACAGATTCGAATCCGGGCTCAAACCTTGGCTGACGCAGCAGCCGGCAAACACCCAGGTAAGAGCCCCAGTGGAGGAGCAGTCCCTCCTCTTATACCTCTTTTTCCCCTCCCCTCCCACTGTTGGTGTGTCATTCTCTGATGGCCCCTCAGGACAAAGAACTGGCCGTCCTTAGCTATTCTTTAGGTGATTTACACAACCTGGCCTGTTTTGCTTCAAACAGAATGTCTGTTCTGACTCCCAACAGGAGTGCAGGATGCTGTGGTTTTTATGACCCCAATTTCCCAGCCAGATCCGGAGGGAGGTATGCATGTCCCACCCCAAAGGAATTCCCGGCACTGAGTTACGACTGACTTTATTTTTTTAAACTTTTCCCCCCTGGCCTGGTCTGTCTCCAGAGTCCTTATCTCTTGGGCAGAGGGGGCAGACTGTCACACAAACAATCATTTATTCACCAGATATTTATTGAGATCCTTTATTTGCCAAGCACTGAGCCACTGGCTGAAGCTACAACAATGAGCAGTCCCATCCCTGCTGCGGTTGCTGCTGGTACCCACCACGTGTCTGGCCAGTTAATAAGGCTAGTTAGTGGCTCCCCTGATGAGGCCACCGGGTGTCTGCTCTGATTGGTCAGGCCTGTTCCACAATGATAGTCAGTCACCCTTTCTGCTAAAAGGAATCCCCAGCAGCCCACAAATTGTACCAGGGCTCCCCCTGCTGGACATTTTCTACAGCTGCACTTCTGATTCAGTTAAGGTTTCAAACTTGATTCATTCCATATCGATTACATTATTTTTGCTTTCACACAATTAACTAATGTATAAAAGGATAAACTTGTTTTTTTAAGAAAATGAGTAATACCAAATATACACAATAAGAGTGAAAGTCTCCTTTTATCTTTTTCAGTTCTCCCTTTCCTAGAAGTTAGCAATGTGTTTATCTTCTCAGACCTATTTCTATCATTTACACCCATTACTACGCACAGATAGAAACATGGTTTTGTTCTTAATTTGTTTTATATGCCTGGGTCCATGTTCTCTGAACCTCAGCATCATTTGGGGTCAACTTGCCCACCTGGCAAGAATTTATGGTAGGAATGAAACAGGTGAAGACTCCTGAGTGCTAGGCTAGAAGCTTGACGTGTCCAAAGCACTCGGAACACCTGAGGGCAGGCAAGAAGAGCCACCCTCATTCACCTTACACATCCTGCAGCAGGGGAGGTAAACTGAGGCATTTCTGCTAGCGTGGCACCAGTTTCCTATTTCAGGAGCAGCAGTGTACAGTGCAATGGGTGTTGCAAAGAGGAGTTTTGCTTTATCTGTATCCATATAAAGTTCACAGTCCACAGGTTATAATTTTAGATATTGAAGTCAAGGTAATCCCATAGAGGAGAGATATGAACAAATACAGAAGGGAGGCAGCCATATGGACAGCTTGGGAAGGACTCCAGGCAGGGAATACTCTAGGCTAAGCCCCCGAGGTGGGGATGTGCCTGGCATATTCCAGGAGTCCACTGTGGCCGAGGCTCAGTCAGAGCAGGAAGAGAAAGGAGAGAAATGAGGGAACTGAGGCAGGGGGTAGGTGGAGGAGGGCTGTTTGGCTCTCACTCTGAGCGACATGAGAGCCATGGCAGGATTATGAGTGCATGCGTGAGATGACTGACTTTTTAAAGGACTATTCTCTATGCTTCATGTATGTTTGAAAATGTCCCTATTGAAAACTAAAAAGTTAATTCTAGTATCTAGGTTTCAAAGAGGCCAGGGTTCAATGGCCAAAATATAGGTGACAGATGTCACTACTCAAAACAGGCTGGTCACAGTAGATGACTGCACGGTTCAGCAATTTTGAACCTGCAGGATTTTCTGGGGAGGGGTGAGAGAAGGAAAGGAGTGAAGGGTGGCTCAAGGTGTTTGGAAGGGGCATTTGGAGGTTTTTGGAAGGGAGGGAATTATTATCAATCGAAACAGGAAGACTTCTTCTGGGTCCATACGCCCACCAGGAGGAAAAGGCTCCCTTCCCTTCCTTTCCAGTGTGTCACCCAGGAGCCGCACACATCATGCACCACAGTGAAAGGGAGGCTAGGAAGCACACTCGTTTTTCTTGGCAGCCTGGAGCCTGACTAAAATTCCAAAGTTCTGCTTCTACTAGTAAATGAAGGGAAGAAGAGCAGTACGGGGCTGATGAGCAGTTTCTATCTTCCTGTCTGTATAATTATACAGACCAGTTATAAGGGTGAAGGAAACATTCCACACAAGGCACTGAGCACAATGCCTGGCACACCTTTGATGTCCATCCCTGGTTAGTTCTCTTCCCCTTGTGGGTGGACAAATGGGTCCAGCAGACATTCATAGAGCACCTACTATGTGCAACTGTTATGAGACACTCAGAGAGGACATTGATATGATATACAAGTCAAGAGAAGCAGACAGATGGTGTGGGATGTAATGTAACGAGGCTAGAAATGGAAGTGGTGTCCTCAAGCTGGGTACAAAGTCCTTGGAACACAGAGAAGGGAGCTCTTCCATCTACCTGCAGATTCAGGAAAGCCCTGCAGAGAGGGGCATTTAGAGTTGGGCCTCACAGGTAAGTGTGATTTTAGCAGATAGGAAGAAATGGAAGGGAAATCTTCCTGCCAACACAAATGAAAACAACAATAATTAGGTACAGAGATAGGTACAGGTACAGATTCAGACATAGGTAATCTCCATGTTTTGTGCCAGACTCAGCTTCCCACTATCCAGCACTGTGGCTGTGGTTCTTCTCATGGTTGCAAAATGCCCGTTAGCAATAACCATCACAGAACTTTGCAGGGGGAAAGTTTATTATTTATAGGACCCAGAAATTACCCAGAGCACCTGGGGCCACACAGTGACGTTGAGGGTAGAGTGAGAACACACAGGTCTGCTTTTATTGGGGTCATGGGTGCAGGCCTAGGGTTTGGGGGACTCAATCTTCACTGGTGAGATTAAAACTTAAGAGCAGGGATTTAAAGCGAAGGCAAGTAGGAAAAACAGTGGCCAGAAGGAGCAGTTATTGAATCAACCAAGATCTCTAAAACACAGGAAACTCAAAGGGGGCTGGGCACTGGCTCTTCAGTCCTGTGGCTGGTGGCGTGTTCACTGGAAATAGCTGTTATGGAAGCAGATGTCTCAGCAATCAAAGCTTCAACAGTCACTAAATTACAAAAAAGAAAAAAGAAACAACCGTCAGGATTCACATTACAACCCAATGCTGGCAAAGGGAAGGGTGGGAGGGCAGGGGGTGGAAGGAGCACCCACCTTATACTGTGGGGAGTGTGTACACATGTGCACCCTCTCAGAAACATCAACATTCAAACTACACATATGTCCATTGCGAGTGATCTGTCCTACACAAATGCTTGCATGAGAGCTCAAAGTGTACACTCAAGGGCTGTACCTCAGCATTGTTCACAGCAACAAAACAACTACAACCTACAAATGAGTCCGCCTATGACTGGACAGTGATTAATGGCGGGGTGGCCCTCCTATAGACCACTCAATAGACATTGAAAAACTTGCCGAAACCAGTTTGGCTCAGTGGATAGAGTGTCGGTCTGCAGACTGAAATGTCCCAGGTTCAATTCCGGTCAAGGGCATGTACATTGGTTGTGGGTGTGCAGGAGGTGTGCGGGGGGTGTGCAGGAGGCAGCTGGTCGACGTTTCTCTCTCCTCAACATTTCTAGCTCTTTATCTCTCCCTTTCTCTCTGTAAAAAATCAATAAAATATATTTTATAAAAATAAAAGACATTGAAAAACTGAGTCAGAGAGCGTGACCAGACGTGGAAGGACCCCCTGCCACGCTGCGTGAAAAAAAAGCCCACAGAGCAATCTGTCTGGCATGATTGCTTTTTGTACAGAAACAAAGGCAAAAAAAAAAAAAAAAAAAGAAATTAGACCAAACCAAAACCAAAGCAGCAAACTTACATCTGCATCTGTAACGCGTGTGTAGGCCTGAGCATTGAGTACATACGGCAAGAGATGAACCAAAAATGCTAAAGGAAGTTACTTTGAGGAAATGGAGCAGAGGGAACAGATATCCTCTTCTTCATGGTTGGTGACAACTAAATATGGAAATAATCTAAATGCCCACCTATGGGTATGGGTTAAGTAAGTCGTGATACATACGTACAACAGAACACCACAGACCTGTTCAAAAGGGTGGGGCATGTCAAAATCGGTTTGGCTCAGTGGATTGAGCATAAGCCTGCGGACTCAAGGGTCCTGGGTTCTATTCCGGTCAGGGGCATGTGCCTTGATTGCAGGCACATCCCCGGTGGGGGGTGTGCAGGAGGCAGCTGATAGATGTTTCTCTCTCATCGATGTTTCTAACTCTCTATCCTCCTCCCTTCCTCTCTGTGAAAAATCAATAAAATATATATTTTTTAAAAAGGTGGGGCAGCTTCATCCATAGATATGAAAGCAGCACCAAATACACTAGAACTAGTGGCAAAAGAGTCTTGCATGTGAATTGTAGTTGAAAAAAATAAAAAGAAGTAGTAGTTGCCTCTAGGTAAGGGAATTGGATGGCTAGGAATAGAGGAAGAAAGATTGTTCTCTTTCTCAACTTTTTTATACTATGAATTTCACTCCATGCATATGTGTTACCTTTCCAAAAAAATTATGTAATTTTATAACATATTAGGAATACGAAATAATTTTAAAAGGTCCTCCTAGAATTTCTGCTGCACCAGGGCAGGCTCAACACTGCAGTGCATGGTGGGAGCTAGGCTCAGCCGGATCATACCTGCACCAGGCCGGAGGGCAAACCTGACTCTGCAGTCGGCATTTAGCAACTCATGTTGCAATTCATCCGTGTCCTATAGAGTGAGGACTGGTTATCCCCGGGGAAGCCAGGAGGTCGGGTCAGGACATTTACTTACGAAGTGAAGTCGCAGTCAGGATGTGTGGTGTGGTCCACACACATAAAGAGCTTCACTGGCCTATAGAATAAAAAGACTTAAGGGACTGCTTTTTGTTTATTTATTTGTTTAATTCCTTTTATTGTTTGAAGTATTACATGAGTCTCCTTTTTCCCCCTTTGACCTCTCCCTGGCAAAGGATTGTTTAAATGGCTTTCATGCAACAAACGTTTGTGGTGTGCCTGCAAAATCCCAGGGACATAAAGTCTCCGACCTGTGAAGAACTGGTTCTTTTAAAAAATATTAGCCAGCATTCTGTACCGAGAATTACATACACTAATTACATCAGTTATATCATTTAATCCTCACAACAGCGACATAGAACTGGCACTATTAGCATTGCCAGTTTACAGCAAAGAACTCGGTCCCCAGGACTTGCCCATGTGCTCATAGCTGCAGGCTCACTCTGGGACCCAAGCATGGATTCACTTCTGCATGGACGTACTATTTTGCTGGGGGAAAACCCTCAATGAGTACAGAAGGCTGGACTTGATTCCAGTCAAGGGCATGTACCCTGGTTGCGGGCCCATCCCCAGTAAGTGGGGGAGGGGTAGGGGGGAGTCAGCTGATTGATGTTTCTCTCTCATTGATGTTTCTAGCTCTCTCTCCTTTCTTCTCTGTAAAAAAATTAATTAAAAAATATATATTTAAAGAGAACAGCTTTGAGGCGCTCATTTCCCTGGCGAGGCAGCCCCTGGGGTTCTTGAGAAGGCAGAGGGGGCAAAGCCAACCTGACAGTGGTGGCCAGGAGGAGATGCAGAGGTACCTGGCACTCTGCCACCCTCTCAGACGTCCCCTAAGCTGGACTCCAATCTCCAGGAGCCAAGCAGGATGTACACATAGGTGGGAATTCCCAGGTGAAGGCAGGGCTTCCCCCTTCCCCAGGATTTGAGCCAAACTCATCTACATTTCTGAGAATCAGGAATGCCCGCAAACAATATCTGATTTTCAGTACATCCAGTTCCTGGCCCGCAATGCGCTCACTGAACGGGAGCTGGTACTATGTTCCTATTGGCCTACAGTCAAGATGTACCTGCCTGCAAGTATCTCAGACAAACTGCACCTTAGCACCTCTCACGGGGAAGGACCCACAGGCCTGTGGCACCCAAAGGGGCAGGCACCATGCTTCCTGTCCGCAGGTCACTCACTGTGCCCTTCGCAGGTGAAGGGCAACCTAGACATGCGCAGATGAGAAAGGGCTGCTCCCTTGGTCTATCCATAATTAGAAAGGCTCTGGACCCAAGTGGGTGGAGCCAGGCAGAACCCTGGCCAGAAGGCACCCACCTTCCCCCCATCCAGTGGCAACCCAGAAGGCACGGTCCTTTGGTCTTTAGAGCTGATCCCCCTAAAACCCTTTGAAATAACCCCCAACACACCAAAAGCACGGATTATCTGCACTGATGATAATAGGACACGTACAGGTAATCATTAGTACAGCTGTACTGCAAACCCATCTCCTTCAGTTTGTCTTCCATGATTTTCACAGTGCCTTCTCCACAGGATTCCCTAAAACACAAACACAGAATAAGAGGATAGAAGAAGTCTTTTCCAGGTTAATTAAAATGTATGTGGACCATGTGCTTCTGAGAAATATTTGGACCCAGAAGTGCTGTCTTCAGTAACCACCCAGGACCCTAAAGGGGCTGCTCTGAGCACCAAACACCTAGTCCAAAGGTTGCATGTCAAGTGCCCCGGGAGGGCCTTACAGGCTCATGAGCAGGTGCCAGGTGCGTCACAGGGTTTCTTGGCTCCACCCACCAACACACCCTTGGGAATTGCCCCTGACCAGTGCCGACTGCCAACTTGTCCTACCGACAGTATATTAAGTTTTATATGGCCACAAAAAAGATGCAATTCAAAAAAAAAAAATTAGAAAGTACAAATAAACAAAAGGGGGAAAAATAAATCTTACATCACTAGAGGTAACTGCCGCTGATATTGATGTATGTCCTTCTAGACTTTTTAACATACTTATCCCCATGAGATTTAAAATATAACAGTGGAGTACTGCTGTCCACGCATTTTGTTTTCCACATTTGTCCATGTCTGTGTACATATAATACATACATGCCTGCCCTTGTTTTTAATTCCTGTGCACCCTCCCTTCCATAATTGAAACATAATCACTAAAACCAGTCACCTCTTAAAGGTCAAGGTTCATTCGTATATTTCAATCTCATGCACATTATAACAAACCTTGATAAACCTTCATTTTTATACACACCCTTCATTATTTGTTTTCTTAGCATGAAGTCCTGAAAGTAGGTTTTCTGGTACCAAGCTTCTGAATGTATTTTAAGGCTCTGAGAGGCACCACCACACTGAACCCCAAGCTGATCACCCCAGCAGAGTATGAGGTTCCATTTCCCCCCCTTTTCATCTACGAGGGTTCTTGCCCAATTCCCACCCCCTTCGTGATTAAGCAGAGGGCAGGTATAAAGGCAAACAGGTGTGGTCAACAGGCATGGTATTCATATTCATATCACAGGCAGGGAGCACAGTACTGGGAGCACAATAGCTTAGTTGATTAGAGCCTCATCCTGATACACCGAGGCTGCAGGTTTGATTTCTGGTCACAGCACATATAAGAATGAACAGATGAACGCTTAAGTGCAACAGATCTCTCCCCAGGACACCCCCCCCCCTTCCCCTCTCTCTCTCAAATCAATCAGTTAAAAAAAAAAAATTTAAAGACTAAAATAAAAATGCAAAACAGATGAGCATATCCCCTCCGGGAAAAGCAGGTTTGCAGGATTACCCTCCCCAAGAGCACCATAGCTTACAGGTAGGGTCCCCCGATGTCATGCATAACCCAGATCTCAACTCGGGTGACTTTATCCTTCTGGAGGTTAGGAATTTCATAATTTGCAAGAAACCTGAAAAACAGGAAAGACATTTCTCAAAGTCCTAAAGCAATGTGATACTTTTGCCATTTCATTGTTAGCTGAGTTACACACTACTTTTCCCCCCCAAGCCTTTGGGGGGCTATTTCTCAGCGTTAACTTTGAGGTTACTTATTTCATTCATGCAGTCATCATCTGTTAATACTGTGACTGGATAAACATATATCTGATCTCTAGGTCTTTCAATAGTTTTGCTCTACCTGGACTTACAAAAGCAAGCATTAGGTTGGGGATTAGGACCATTCTCATAAGCCTCCTTCCCAAACAACTACTGGTAGATGAACATTTTGGCATCTCTGTTGCATTGGTTGGTGCTGACATTCTTACCCTTTTGTGGGATAAGCTCCTTTTGGTTCTGAACCATTCAGCATGACGTGGATCACCCCAGAAGTCTCTTTTGCATACTGCAAGAAGAAATGAGTCATTTTTCAGCTATGAATGGCCAAATTAAATATATATATATATATATATATATATATATATATATATATATATGGATTGGCTTTTAGAAAAGGGGGGGGGGCAGGGAGGAAGGGAGAGAGAAAGAGAGAGAGAGAGAGAAAGAGAGAGAGATGTTGTTCCACTTATGCATGCATTTCCTGGTTGACCCTTATATGTGCCCTGAGTTGCTCTTATGATCCACATCCTGGTGACAAGGCATCCACAGCCAACTGCCTGGAACTTGTACTCAGAGCGGGGCCTATGGGGAGGGGGTACAAACCCATGGCTCCCCTCGGAGCTGCCTGGAGAGCACTGGATGGATATATAATGTATTTGTCCAGAGCAGGCCCTCTGCTTAGCTCCCACTGGCATCTGTGGTGGAAGATTTGACCAAAGTCCCTCTAACCCTGATGAACAATGACCCGGTGGACACCTGAGAATGCAGAGCAGGGAATGAGACACAGAGACACAGATAGCCCTGAAAGGGGGTTGGTTTGCAGCCATGGGTCAGGGGACCCTGAAATCTGTGGGCCACCTCGTCAATACAGGGAACATTTAATAGTAGACAGCTCTTTGCCAGGTGCAGAGCTAAAGACTTAACCCTCATTAATTTCTAATATTTGTTCTTCCTGGTGAGAGAAAATGTGAACTATGCTCACTGGCATTTAATAGCTACTGGTAACTACCATCACCCCTGGTGACAACATTCTCTGAGGGACAAACTTTCCTCAGGGAGACCATTTCTGGATCTCCAGTTTGTCCTCAGTCCTCTCTCACCTGCTCTCCCATGGGCATCAGTCTTAGAGACATTTCTGACTCCCACATCTAGATATCAGGTGTCCGAGGGCCTCCCAGAAAGCATGGCCACCCTATTTTATATAGCAATCAAAATCACAATTATTTGAACCCAACAGGAGTGGCTCAGTGGTTGAGCATCAACCAATGAACCAAGAGGTCATGGTTTTGGTTTGATTTCCAGTCAGGGTACATGCCCAGGTTGAGGGCTCAATTACCAATAGGACAAATGCAGGAGGCAGCTGATCAATAATTATTTCTCATTATTGATGTTTCTATCTCTCTCTCTCTCCCTCTCTCTGCCTCTCTGAAATCTATCTATATCTATATCTGTATCTATATCTATATCTATCTATCATCTATCATCTATCTACATCTATCTATCTACCTATCTATCTACGTCTATCTTATCTATCTATCTATCTATCTATGTCTATCTATCTATCTATCTATCTATCTATATTTTAAATCACATTGATTCAAAATCCTAACAACCACCAACACCTAACAGCAATAAGGACTATTTAATATCCTCATCTCTGACTAACACTAATTGAACATCTGCTCTGTGCCACGTTAAGCTCAAGTCCACACAGCTTTATGGAGCAGAGAGACTAAAGCAGAGTCCTGAAAAGGTGGAAAGCGAGGCTCCAAGAAGGTACGTGGTAACCCAATGGCCCAGTCTCAGAACGTCTCTGGCCCCCTCTGGTCCATGCTCAGGGGTTCCTGCTGTGCCCTCCCTTAGCCGTGCTCCCCAGGGTTACCTGCGTGGATGCCCTTCTCCAGAAAGAATCCATAGCATTGGTTTCACAATCCTCTAACACAGGGCAGGATTGGTAATCGAGTCCTGGGAGGAAAACAAACACATTTCATTTCCAAGATGATATTGGGAAGAATCAATTAAAGGTATTTTCTGGCTCTGAAAAATATATTCAGCCTGGGTGCTGCACCATGTGCTCAAGCTGAGCAGTCACAATTCTGACCACCCAATCCCCAGGAGCCTGGTGAGTGACCATCCAATCTGTGATAATGGAGACATGTCATCTTGCTCGGCACAGATGCAAGGAAGGTGAAGAACTGATCAATTGGCTAATGAATGAGCCTGGCCGGCCACCAGCATGCTAGCTGGGTTATTCTCTACTGGAATGCTAGTAAAAGGATTTTAAAAATACCACATACAGCCAAAACCGGTTTGGCTCAGTAGATAGGGCATTGGCCTGCGGACTGAAAGGTCCCGGGTTCGATTCCGGTCAAGGACACGTACCTTGGTTGTGGGCACATCCCCAGTGTGTGTGTGAGGGGCGGGGGGGGGGGGGGGGGGAAGGGGGTGCAGGAGGCAGATGATCTGTGTTTCTAACTATCTTTCTCCCTTCCTCTCTGTAAAAAATCAATAAAATATACATTTAAAAAAAACAAAACAAAAAAAACACATACAACTTGGCTTCCCTGGAAGAAGTACCTTCTCCAATTAGCCCTGGTTTGGAAGTAAATACAAAACAAACAGAAAGTAATAGTCTTAGGCAGAAAATAAGATATTTTATAACATGTTCAAATGTATTAAATTGCATTAACTTTAAGGATATAATTCAGTACATATATATGGTATATGTTCACTATATACTCTATTTAAAATAAAATTAAAATTAAAAAAGGAACGTGCTAATTGGCAAGTTGTTCCAGGGAGAACCAAGCAGGACACAATGTGTCCTTGAAGGCAGGCAATGTGTTCAGGGAGGTGCAAATGTGACTAGCTGTAATGTTGTTAAGTTGCAAGGCCCATTGCATAACTCAGTGGTCGGCAAACTATGGTGGCTCTTTGACCCCTTGAGTGTGGCTCTTCCACAAAATACCATGGCCTGTGCGAGTCTATTTTGAAGAAGTGGCATTAGAAGAAGTTTAATTTTTAAAAATTTGGCTCTCCAAAGAAATTTCAATCGTTGCACTGTTGATATTTGGCTCTGTTGACTAATGAGTTTGCCGACCGCTGGCATAACTCAAAAGATCAGTATAAGAAAGTGCTAATTACTTCTGTGAAGTACACACTCTAGACTTGTACATAGTTCTGGTTATCATGGGGGCAGGCCAGAGCCAGGATTTCTCAGAGATCTCTGAGCCTCAGAGAGGTCCCAGGGATGGTACATGGCAAAGAGGATCAGAATTGAGCTCTCTGGCTGCCCACTGCTCCTCCCACCATTTCTTTTATATATTTTTTTTTTTTAAATATGTTTTATTGATATTTTACAGAGAGGAAGGGAGAGAGATAGAGAGCTAGAAACGTCGATGAGAGAGAAACATCGACCAGCTGCCTCTTGCACACCCCCTACCGGGGATATGCCCGCAACCAAGGTACATGCCCTTGACCGGAATCGAACCTGGGACCTTTCAGTCCGCAGACCGACGCTCTACCACTGAGCCAAACCGGTTTCGGCTCCTCCCACCATTTCTGACAGCCATGGCTTTAGGTGGTATTTATAATTTCTGTATTTGCCTGTTTTACACTTTTTTGGTCTTAGACTATTAATAACCGGTGACTATTATTAATAATCATTTATGTAGTTGAAGAATTCTGTTCATTAAACATAGTTTATTCTAGCCTGGCCAATTTGACTTAGTGGTTGAGCACTGACCCAGGAACCAAGAGGTTGGCGGTTCAATTCCTGGTCAGGGCACATGCCCAGGTTGCAGGCTCAATCTCCAGTAGGGGTGTAAGCAAGAGGCAGCCGATCAATGATGTTTCTCTTTCATTGATGTTTCTCTCTACCCCTCTCCCTTACTTTTTCTCTAAAAGTCAATAAAAATATATTTTAAAAAATACTTTATTACCTAAACTAAAAAAACAAAACCTGAAGTAAATATGGATAAGAAAAAAAATGTATGACTTTAGCCCAACCAGCATGGCTCAGTGGGTTGAGCATTGACCTATGAACTAGGAGGTTACAGTTCAATTCCCGGTTGGGGCATATGCCCAGTTGTAGGATCAATCCCTAGTAGAGAACATGCAAGAGGCAGCTGATCAATGATTCTCTCTCGTTATTGATGTTTCTCTCTCTCCCTCTCCCTTCCTCTCTGAAATCAATGAAAATAAATGCTAAAAAACTAAAAAAAAGTATGACTTCAAATTCCTAGCAAGAGCAGTTTGAGTTTGCTATCTTCTTGACTTCTTTCATGTGTACATTTTCATATGTGTTTGTGTGTAGGTATATTTTTTATTTGAATTAATTTGATTTTTTTCACTTAAAAATATATCACGAACACCTCATCAGATCAACAGACACACATTGTTCATAGCTCCACGAAATACCAGAACATGAACATAGCGTTATTTTTCTGATCCTAAACTCTGGGCTTCACTTCCTTTTTAAACAAAGACCCCTTAGAAGATGGTATGGATGGAATGAAAGAGATGGGGAAGAACCTGTGATTTTCTGGGACACTCTCTGAGCTGCTTTACTCTCAACACTTCCTACAACAATCACTTCTCCAAACTCTCCAGGCTGGGGGTCCCACAATTCAATTCATTTCGGACACTAAGTATGCAAAGTTAGCGTAGGCACCGCAGGTGAAGGGGTCAGTCCCACAAGACTGCCCCCACTTCACTCTTTACTCACTGCCCTCCTTGCTGTACTTAAATATGCCAGACACACCTCCAACTCAGGGCATTGGCACCTGATGTTCCCTCTGTCATGAATGCTCTTCCTCATCTCCTTTATTATAGGCTTTGTTCAGATATCAGCTTCTCATGAGGGGTGAGGCTCTCCCTGGGCCTATGTGACACTGAAACACTTTCCTCTCCCCTCCTCCCCCTGCCCAGCACTTCCATCACTCCCTTGTTTTGTTTTTCTCTGTAGTCCTTATAATCTTATATGAGACTATGTATTTTACTTGTCTGCCTATTGTCTTATTTCCCTTCTATAATGTAAGGATGGGTATTAGCCCAAATGGCATTGCTCAGTAGTTAAGTTTTGACCTATGAACTAGGAGGTCACAGTTTGATTCCTGATCAGGGAATATGTCTGGGTTGTGGGCTCGATCCCTAATGTAGGGCATGCAGGAGGCAACTGATCAGTGATTCTCTCTCATGACTGATGTTTCTATCCTGCTCTCTCTCTCCCTTCTTCGATGAAATCAACAAAAATGTATTTTTAAAAAAAGAATGGGATTGTTTTCCTGTTTGATTCTCTGCTATATCCCCAGGGCCTGGCACACAGTAGGCACTCTATGACTTCTAGTTGGATGGAGGAAGGAAGGAAGGAAGGAAGGAAGGAAGGAAGGAAGGAAGGAAGGAAGGAAGGAAGGAAGGAAGGAAGGAAGGAAGGAAAGAAAATAAGCAGAACTGAGCTTAAGTTAATTTAAAGCATCTCTAATATCCAGGGGGGAAGAATCTCTAGCCTTCAGGGAGAAAACACCTTCTCCACCTCCTTTCCCTGCTGGCCTTGCTCCTGATGGTCCTTTGAGACTCACCCAGAGCCTAGAGCACATGTGTCAAACACAAGGCCCGCAGGCCAAATCCGTCCCGCCAGGCCTCGCAATGTGGCCCGCACTGCGCTGTCATCACTGCACTCCGCTGCGTTTCCATCACAATGACAGTTTATGACTGTTCAGTAAACCATTCAGCCCGCGATTTAGGCTGGATTTTAGATTTTGGCCCCTTCTCTGATTGAGTTCGACACCCCTAGCCTAGAGACTTCTGGAAGCTTCCTGGTTGACACTCTGTGTCCAACCAACTAGGACTAACTCCTCTCTCTCCTTTTACACAGTACTATTTGTTTCTACTACTTTCTCTCTGGTCTGGCTCGTATCTCACTCTGTTCCTCCCTTGAGCCCAGCCCTGCCCGGGTCCTAGCACTGGACAATGGGTAAAGGTCTCTCTCAAGGCTATAAGCTCCCTGAGGGTGGGGACACTTAGCTGCCAGCTCCTAGCAGGGGAGCTGGATGGCGGAGGAGAGCTGTCCCTACCCGCAGGTCAGTCCTCCTGACCTTAACTCTCACTGTGATTTTAATCTGAAAATACCTGCTGGAGAGCTGGAGAGGCATTTCAGAGCCCAGGCCTCAGATCTTTCAGAAAGGGTCGAGTCCTGGCCTCTCCCTCTTCGAGTGGTTTAACCTCCCTAAGCCTCAGCTTCCCTCTCTGGAAAATGAGGAGAGAGAGGCTCAGTGGTGCAGAGTGGGGAGCATGTGCTCTGGAGTCAGACTGTCTGACTCTGCTGCTTCCTAGATCTGCATCCCTGAGCAAGTTCCTTCACTTTGCCCTGCCTCAATTTCCTTATTTGTCAAAATAGAATTAGGATTAGACCTGTCCCAGGGGGCTGTCTCAGGGATTAAAGTAGTTAATGTATGTAAAGTGCTCAGGATGTGCCCATCAAAAGGTAAGTGCTATCTGCTATGGTGATTGTTATTACCACCTACTGCAGAGGATTGGTTGGGGGGTGGGGGTGGGGTGGGGGAATGAAATGAGGTGAATGCATATGAAAGCATTTAGCACAAATAGCAAGTGCCTAGTAAGCAAGAACTCTTCTTTTTCTTTTTCTTTTTCTTTTTTTTTTTAGAAAAGAAAAAAACACCTATTCCTTTTTATTATTATTTCAGAGAGGAAAGGAGAGGAAAGAGAGGCAGAAATATCAATGATGAGAGAGAATCATTGATCAGCTGCCTCCTGCACACCCCACACTGGGGATTAAGCCCACAAATCAGTTATGAGCCCCAACCAGGAATCAGAGGTTGACCCCAACCACTGAGCAACACTGGCCAGCCAAGAACTCTTTATTTGCCTTGTGTGTTGTGCAGGAGTCTTACCAGAGCCGTTTTCCTGCCGACACCAGCTCATAAAATCCACAACCTTGCCGAGCAGAGCATCGCCCAAAGGCATGTAACGCCGGCTTTTCTCTGAGTAGTTGACTACAAGGAGCGGTTATTTTCCCACATCAGGGCCTGTGGAAAAACAAACACAACATTCAAGTAGAAAATGAAATCAAAACAAACTTCAAGCACTATGTTATCAAGCGAAGTCAGGCAACCCATTTCTTATTCAACTCTCCTGCCTCACACCCAAAACCCTTTCCTATCTTGGTCTAAATTTCTTCCTGTTAGTCCAAGGGTGTCGTGCAAATGTTAGTGAAATATTTCCCCAGGAGTACAATGCAGTGTGTGTGTGTGTGTGTGTGTGTGTGTGTGTCTGAGAGAGAGAGAGAGAGAGAGAAGACCCTGGATTTAAAAGAAGATCGAGGGGCCTGGGTTTGTGATAAATTAGATATGTGATTTTGACCAAAGCATATTCTCTCCCTGTGCCTCAGTTTCCACATCTGGAAAATGGAAATCATGAGCCCGCCTCTTCTTCCACAGCTGTGCTTAGGATGATATGCAATATATCCCTTTATATTATACTTTACAGTTCCTGTAGCTGAACCCCAGGTGAGTTTAGTGCCCCTCATTTTGGGGGCAGCTAGAATTAATTAATTTAATTCCTGCTTAGGCCTTTGTTTACATTAACTGCTCTTCTCTTCTCATGGAAGTTGAGAAGTTGCTGAGGTGGGTCTCATTGCCAAGCAGGAGATGATGACTTTGGGGTTATGAGGGAAATGTATGAGTTCGCCTTGCAGAAGGAAAGAATGTCTCCAAAGCAGCTGTGACTAGTTGCTGCCGCCTAGGAGTCTGGCTGCACAAAATGTTATCTGTGACTAAAGAAACACAGACTTCTCTCTCAGTTCCCCAGAACTACCCAACCCCTACTCCCAAGCTGCATACAGACTTCATACTGTGCTTTTGGAAAGAGATGGGTTTGCAAGATTTTGCTCTCTTGGACACTCTGGGTAAATCAAATAAACCTTTCTCTGTCTCCAGCCACCAGTGTCTCAATGTTCATGTTACTAATGCAGCCAGCAGGTATAAAACCTGAATTTTGGAAGATGATTCTGCTATAGTTTCACTATAAAGTTATAGTATTTTTACCCAGCAATTCCACGTCTGGATAAATATCTGAAGAAACCCAAAACATTAATTCAAAAAGACATATGCACTCTTATGTTCACTGCAGTGTTATTCACAACAGTGAAGACTTGGAAGCAATCCAAGTGCCCACAGTAAATGAGTGAATAAAGAAGAGGTGGTACATACAACAATTTATTAAAAAACTTGCGACAACATGGGTGGACCTAGAGGGTGTTATGCAAAGTGAAGTAAGTCAGACAGAGAAAGATAATACCATATGATTTTACTTCTATGTACAATCTAAAGAATAACACAAATGAGCAAACAGAAGCAGGCTCATAGATACACAGAACAGACAGATGGGAGGGGTGCTGGGGAACTGGGCAAAAAAGATTAAAGGATTAAGAAGTACAAATTGGGCCAAATCCGGTTTGGCTCAGTGATAGAGCGTAGGTCTGCGGAGTGAAAGGTCCCAGGTTCGATTCCGGTCAAGGACATGTACATTGGTTGCGGGCACATCCCCGGTAGGGGGTGTGCAAAAGGCAGCTGATTGATGATTCTCTCTCATCGATGTTTCTAACTCTCTATCGCTCTCTCTTCAGCTCTGTAGAAGATCAATAAAATATATTTTAAAAAAAGAATAAGTACAAATTGGTAGTTACAAATAGTCACAGGGATATAAAGTATAGCATAAGAAATATAGTTGATAATATTGTAATATGATAACTATATATGGTGTCAGGTGGGTACTTAAAATATTGGGGATCACTTTGATTGTCTAACCACTATGCTGTACACCTGAAACTAATATAAAATATTATGTCAACTATAATTAAAAAATAAAATTTTAAAAATAAGATAAAATTAGCTAAAACCGGTTTGGCTCAGTGGATAAATAAAATATACTTAAAATAAATAAGATAAGATGAGAGGGGTTTGGCTCAGTGGATAGAGCGTCGGCCTGCGGACTGAAAGGTCCCGGGTTCGATTCTGGTCAAGGGCATGTGCCTTGGTTACAGGCATATCCCCAGTAGAGGGTGTGCAGGAGGCAGCTGGTCGATGTTTCTCTCTCATCGACATTTCTAACTCTCTATCCCTCTCCATTCCTCTCTGTGTAAAATCAATAAAATATATATTTTTTAAAAATAATAATAAATAAATAAATAAAAATAAAATTATATTGTTTTCACATAAAAACAAGACAAAAAGCAATACCCCGCTCGATCATTATCTCATCAGATCCTCAGTAGTCCAACTGGTCTTGGCCTAAACAGGAAGTACCCTGAGGGCAGGGCTGTTTTGTTCCAGGATGCATCCTCAACTCTTAGCACAATGCCCAGCACATGAGAGTAGCTCAGCAAATATTTACTGAGTTCATCAACTAGAACCAAGATCAACAAGAGAAGAGAACAAACTTTGTGGCTCCTCTCTTTACTGTCAAGGAAGCAGCAAGGTTCAACATATATTTAAATATTATGGTCTTGGACGAAACTGGTTTAGCTCAATGGATGGAGTGTCGGCCTGCAGACTGAAAGGTCCCGGGTTCAATTCCAGTCAAGGGCATGTACCTTGGTTGCGGGCACATCCCCAGTGGGGGGAGTGCAAGAGGCAGCTAATCGATGATTCTCTCTCATCGATGTTTCTAAATTTCTATCCCTCTCTCTTCCTCTCTGTAAAAAATCAATAAAATATATTTTTTAAATAAAAATTAAAAAATAAAATAAAAATTATGGTTTTGGTCTATTATATCTCTGAAAAAGAGGCTTCATTTACCTCTTTTTCAAAGGAAAAAATTAGTGTTAAGGTTAGGGTTAGGGTTTTTTTCATTTGTAACCATCAAAGTTACCTGACTTTACAATTAAAAATCAAGTTAAGAATTATTATGTTAGATAAATAAAAATGCTCTCTAACAGTCCTTAATTCAAGGCACTGTTCAAAGAAAACATTTTAGGCCACTTTTCTTAATTATTACTCTTTTAAATATACACATTTAACTTTATCATTGTCATTTAAAGCCTGGTTTTATAAAACACACACAAAAAGACATTTTTAAGAGTTTTGTACTACGGGAATTTAAAGAGTAGAAATGGCGATAGCTTTGTAAGTGTAAGTTATATACATTAAAATCAAATAATTGGAGATTTTTTCAATATGAAAATGATACAAATGAAACAAATGCAAAAGGACCTATTAGGAATGTTTTGTGATTGCAGATTATCGGTTACTTTAGGACCTAAATAAAGATTCTGAATATTCAGTCTTCTTTTGCTATGTTTCATATTTACCTAGTAGAGGCCTGATGCATGAAATTGGTGCACAGGAGAGGGGAAGGCTGTCCCCTCAGCCCAGCCTACACCCTCTCGCAATCTGGGACTGCTGGCTCCTAACCACTCTGCCTGCCTGCCTCATCGCCCCTAAATGCTCGCCTGCCTCTGCCTCAGCCCCCACCACCATATCTTCGTCCAGGATGATGTCTGGAAGGTCGTTCGGCTGTCTGGTCTAATTAGCATATTACACTTTTATTGTTATAGATACTCCGAGTTAAGCCACATGACCAAAAGATCTAATTTAGGAAAGCATTTAGCTTTATAGCAAGTTTTTCCATCTACAGTCACCATGTTCAAAAGAATTGACATTACAGCGCTGATGCTGCCGGTTCCCTTTAGAACAGTGGGCAAAACCATTACGTCAACCTGATGGAAAGTCAAACAGATACCAAAAAAAAAAAAAAAAAAAAAAAAGGCACAATCATGTACAGTTCAGTAAGTATAGTGTTGTTTTCCCTATCTCAAAAGTCATCAATGAAATAAAACATGAATGACAGTTGGCTTGGTTTCAGGAAACACATTTAAGAATTCCATCATTGCCGAAACCGGTTTGGCTCAGTGGTAGAGCGTCGGTCTGCGGACTGGAGGGTCCCGGGTTTGATTCTGGTCAAGGGCATGTACATTGGTTGCAGGGCGCATTCCCAGTAGGGGATATGCAAGAGGCAGCTGATCGATGATTCTCTCTCATCAATGTTTCTAACTCTCCATCCCTCTCTCTTCCTCTCTGTAAAAAATCAATATAATATATTTTTTAAAAAGAAGAAGAAGAAGAAGAAGAAGAAGAAGCAGCAGCAGCAGCAGCAGCAGCACGGTGCCCGACAAAATCCCATCCATGCCTGGAGATGGGACAAGAACAATAGTGGAATTCAAGAACAATGATGAAATTCTTTATATATATATATATATATATATATATATATATATATATATATATTGATATTGATATTGATTTTTTTACAGAGAGGAAGGGAGAGAGAGAGAGAGCTAGAAACGTCGATGAGAGACAAACATCGACCAGCTGCCTCTTGCACATCCCCCACCGGGATGTGTACATGCCCTTTACCGGAATCGAACCTGGGATCTTTCAGTCAGCAGGCTGATGCTCTATCCACTGAGCAAAACCGGTTTCAGCTGGTGCTGCTTCCTTTACGGCTTATAAAACAGAAGGCAGGCAGAGGGACTTGCTCAGAATTGGGTATAAACTGTGGTCCTGACTCTTACCACTTTGCAGGTGCAGCCACATCCCTGCCTATGCAGATCAGGAAGTTCCAGCTGTGGCAGACTTGCCACCATAGCTGTGTTCTGTGTGAGTGCTGGGCAGACTTCACCCTGAGAGTTTTTCTCTGGCTATACTGTCATCTCTGGCAGTCTTGTACCCTCAGTATCAAACTGCCATCTCTCAAGGACCTCACTACTTACATTTTTAGATGACTATCACATGTTTCTGCACAGAGCACTTGCATATCAGGTCTGTTAATTGTTCCCACACATAATTTAGGAACTTCATGGCCTCAGTATCAATGTTGACAAGCAACGATGAGTCCATATTTCTAAGCTCGAGGAAAGGTTTCAGCTGGATGAATGTCACTCTGATATAAAGTGATGTGGATGAGAAAATCTATTCCAGGCCCTGTGAAGGCTGATGCCCTGCTCCAGAGGGAGCTGCCGCACCATGGCCAGGCCCACAGCCTGGCACACCCACTGCTCGGAGCATCCACCACACACCACGGCCACCACACTCAGTGGCTGCAGGGGCTCCCCAGCAGCTCCTCGCCACTGATTTCAAAAGTAAACTCCTGCCCTAGCCGGTATGGTTCAGTGGATAGAGCACCAGCCTACAGACTGAAGGGTCCTGGGTTCAATTCCGGTTCCTGGCCCTAGTCAGGGTGTGTGCAGGAGGCAATCAATCAATGTGCCTCTCTCACATCAATGCTTCTCTCTGTCTCTCCCTCTCCCACACTCTCTAAGAATCAATGGGAAAATATCCTTGGGTGAGGATTAACCAAAATAAATAAATAGATACCTACATACTTACATACATAACTTCATTCATTCATTATATTACAATTTACAGATATGTGGTTTTCTTAAACTGATACTAAACAGATATAACCTTAAGTGCCGTTAAAAGGAGAAATAGGTTTTCTGGGAGTCTCCTTGATGTTGGGCACTTTCTGACTTGCTCAGGGTCAGGCCCTTAGGGTCAGTGAGGACAGAGGTCACTCAGAATCCGCCCTGGCCCTAGCCGGTTTGGCTCAGTGGATGGAGCGTTGGCCTGAGGACCAAAAGGTCCCGGGTTTGATTCTGGTCAAGGGCACATACTTTGGTTGCAGGCTCCTCCCCAGCCCAGGCCCTGGTTGGGGTTTGTGCAGGAGTCAACCAATCAATGTGTCTCTCTCACATCTGTTTCTCTCTCTTTCCCCCTCTTTCACTCTCCCTAAAAAAATCAATGGGAAAATATCCTCGGGTGAGGATTAACAAAGAACAGGAACAAAAAGAATCCGCCTGGCAGGAGCCCCAGGGCGGGAGTGTGGCAATGCCCAGGTCCTGTGACTCCTGCTCTGCTTTGTTGACTTAGGAATTCTCCTTCTGCCCAGGCAGGCGGGAGGCCGGTGAAGATGAAGCCACCTTCCCACCCAGAGCCCCACGGGGCATGCGCTCCGGGAGGCTGCAGCTGAAGTCTCAGGCACCCTGGACACAACCACTCTCACACCTTTGGCCGCTGTGAGGACAGAGCCAGTGGGAGCGCCTGAATACCTTGTCTCTGGGAATGGGGTGCCTAGCGAGGTCGATGAAACGGTCGTAGTCGGAGGGCAGCACGGAGCAGGGGTCCTTGGTCAGCGCCAGTTGGAAGGCCTCCCACATGGCCGTGCAGTTCTTGTCCCTGTGCAGGAACACACGTGTATTAAAAAAAAAGCCACAGTGGGACAGATCTCTCTGTCTGTCACCCCCAGGCTCCCTGACCTTAAGAACCCCCACCCTCCCCACACAAGCACCCTCAGGTCAAGACCCTTGACTTCCCACGCACTCCTGGTCTTTAGGACCCATTCCTTCCTCCCCACAACCTCCTGATCTCTGGAGGCCCACTTCCCCCTCCCCTCCCCATCCCTCTCCCCCTACCTCTTCTTCCCCTCCTCCCTCCTCTCCTAGCCCTCCTCTCACTCTCCCTCCTCCCCCTCCTCCCTCTACCCCCCCCCCTCCGCCTCCTCTTCCTCCCCCTACACACTTCTGCCCCTTCTGCCAACCCAGTCCGCTCCTTTCTGCGCTGCCCCCAGGGCCGCCCGCCGTCCTCCTGAGCTCACCGCAGCTGGGGCTGCAGCAGATCAATGTACTCGCCACAGCGGCCCAGGAAGATGGATCGCAGGTGCGGGGTGGTGCCCTTGCCACTCCACCGCGTGCACTGGGCTCCCGCCCAGCAGGGCGCCAGCAGCAGCACCTGGAGCAGGAGCGAGGGCCAGGACAGGGCGCGGTCCGAGACAGCCATCGTGGGGATTCTGGAGAGCCTGCTGCACAGCCTCCCTCTTAAGGCAAGCTGCCCCACCCCACCACACCCCACGACACCCCATCACACCCCAGCTGGCCCCAGCTGACCCCAGCTGGTCCCAGCTGACCTGGGCAAGGCTGAAAGGCGTTCAACGTGGTGTGTTTTTCAGAGTTGCTGCCTAGTCATGTCACAGTTGTCACCCTATTCACACCAAGAGTCTGGACCTGTAGCTAAAGATTTGAGTTTTGAGTTTTGCTCAGTGGATAGAGCGTCGGCCTGCAGACTGAGAGGCCCCAGGTTCAATTCAGGTCAAGGGCATGTACCTTGGTTGCCAGCACATCCTCAGTGGTGGGTGTGCAGGAGGCAGCTGATCAGTGTTTCTCTCTCACCATTGTTTCTAACTCTCTATCCCTCTCCCTTCCTCTCTGTAAAAAAATCATATATATGGAAATATATATATATATATATATATATATATATATATATATATATATATATATATATATATTTGAGTTTAGGATTACCGCCATAAGTTCCTGCTTTACTTTTGCTTTCCTGGGACACTCTTTAAACAGAACCACCAAGAGTGAAGCCCGGGGAAAGTTAGTGATCTCCGCTCCAGGCATAGAACAGGTGTTTGCTACCCTGTCCTCCACTTCCAGCTGGCGGTTGGCAGGGAGAGGACTCCTTCCCCAGGCATTGCACCCAGAGACTCATATCACCCCCACATGAGCATCTGTAAGCAAAATCCTTCCTGTTCGTGTGGGTGTAGGAAATGGCACAGATATGCAGAGATCTGCCCCTGGGTCACGCTGATCACCTGAGTAGGTAGTGCCTCCTCCTTCAGCAGGTCAGAATCTGCAACCTATGAATCCAAGACACACCTGCTAGCTCCTCAGCATAACACCGAGCTCCCACCTCCTGTGTCAGTTCCAGGGCTGAGCTGGGACTTCCCCCGGGAAAGGGCACGGGAAAGGACATTGCTCTTGTGGAATCTTGGCCTGAGCCAAGGAGGAAGGAGCCACGAAGCAGAGAGGTTGGAGAACAGGAGAGGAGGGTGCAGTCAGCAGAGGGAAGACTTTCCTGGCCCAGAATGATGCCCACTCTGACAGACACCCTCTTTCCCACCTGTCAGTGAGGAGTGGGTTGTTTTCAGGAAGTAACAATTACCCGAACTAATGTTATTGAGCTATTCCAGGTGCCCAGAACTCTGCATAGTTTTCATTATTTTTCACAACATCCTCTGAGCCAGATGAAGAAACCCAGGGAAGTTGAGGAATTGCTGAGGTCACCATCTCCCTCCCCTGGCTGATGAGCACGCAGTCCTAGAGACAATCAGTGCAGAGAGCTAGGATGCCGGGATTCACAGAATCCCACGTGGAGGGCCAACCTCCCAATTTTCCCAGCCGTGATAGCTATGAACTCCGACTGCCTGGCAGGCATTTGATTAACACAGGAGGTGGCTGCGGGGTAGGACTAGAGGGTTCCACAACATTTTATTTGAACCTCTTGTTCTTGGTTTTCTTATGTTTAGTGTTGACACAATTATAGATGCCCCCATTACCCCCTCCTTTGCCCTCTTCTACCCAGCCCCTGCCCTCCCCTCTTCCCTCATGCCATCCACACTGCCGTCTGTGTCTATGGGTTATGCATATATGCCCCTTGGGTAATCCCTTCATCGTCTTTCATCCAGTACCTGCCTCCCCTCTGACAGCTGTCAGTCTGTTTGATGTATCCCCACATTCTGTCCAGCCTCAAGTCCACATTCCAGGAATACGCATTTTTAATTATTTCAACAGTTTTGTTCTGGTATTTATTTCCACGTTGTTCTTTTTCTTTTCAGAGAGGAAGAGAGAGAGAGAGAGAGAGAGTGATAGAGAGAGAGAGAGAGAGAGAGAGAGAGAGAGAGAGAGAGAGAGAGAGAGAAAGAGAGAGAGAGAGAGAAACATCAGTGATGAGAGAGAATCATTGTTTGGCTACATCCTGCACGCCCCATACTAGGGATCCAGCCAAAACCTGGGCATGTGCCCTGACTGGGAATTGAACTGTGACATCCTGATTCCTGGGTCAATGGTCAACCACTGAGAACACCAGCTGGGCATACTCACACATTTCTAAATAGCCTGCCCCTACACTGTTTCTTGATGTTTCCACCTTTGATGCTATTCTAGTATGGAAAAGGAAATTTTACCGTTAACCTCGCACATTCTCAAAAAGCATCCTTCTGTACCCTTCATCCTTTCAACACAGTTGCATCACTACATAGTTATTTGATTAGCATAGGAGGTGGCTGCAGGATAGGTCTGAAGGTTCTATTAACATTTTATTTGAATCTCTTGCTTTCTGTATTATTTATTTTTGTTGACACTATTATAGATGTCCCCATATTACAAGCTTTAAATCAGTAGTCAGCATTCACACAATTATTACCTTATGTATATTATTCATGGCTGAGCTTATGTTATTCTATGATTTTATTTCTTATAAACTTCATGCTTATCCTAAAGGTAGTAATTATCTCCCTTCCCTTATCCCTGGCTTACTAGTATTTGTTTGCCTTGGTGTTCTTTGTAATGATTATAGTCAGATTCTCTATAAGACATGTAAACCTTTCAGTGCATTCAAAAGCATCAGTCAATGTTTCAGGTAGTATGTATGTATGTATGTATGTATCTATCTATCTATCTTGCTAGAGCTGTCCAGTTTACTATCAAAATCTGAGCTGGTTCCTCTCTCAACTTGCATAGTTGTCATCCTGGTATCCTCCTCCCCATCACTCCTGAGTTGATTCCCTATTTCCTAGATCCTATTTCTTGTTTTATGGCGTATTCTTTGCAATACCTCTTTGAGATGCCAAAGGGGTTAATCTTTCTGAGACTTTTGCATAATAATGCAAACTTCTATTATTCTACCCTCATACATGATTAAGAGTTTGGTTGGGGAGAATTTTAAGTTGGAAATCATTTTCTCAGGTAATTTGGAAGGTAGTGCTCCATTGTTTTCTGCTGTCTGTGTTACTGTTAAAAAAAATCTGCAGCCATTTTCCTAATCCTGCTTATTTGACCTCTCCCCTACCTCAGGAACTTTTTAGGATTTCTTCTTATCTTTAAGAGCATTAAATCTCAGAGATGAATTTGGGGGTATTTCCATTGATCTGACAGCTCTAAAAAGAGGGGGGGAGGGGGAGGGAGAATTATTTTCTCTAAAGGAAGAAAGAAGTTTGAGAAAGGAAACTTTCTATAAACTCAGCCATGAGTGATATTTACAAGTCATAATAATGTAAGTGCAGATTATTGATTTAAAGCTTGTATCCAAAAAAATAGAAAAAACTCAACAACTCAAAAACAAGATGAAAATCAACCCAAATTTTTAAATGGGCAAAATAGTTGAAAAGATACTTTACCTAAGAAGATATTCCACTTCGAGGTGTTTACCAAAGAAAAAAATGAAACTGTCTACCCAAAGATTTATACATGAAATATTTATAGCAACTTAACTCATAATAGCCCCTAAATGAAACAATGCAAATGTCCATAAGATAATAAATTTTTATATATATAGTGCAATACTACTCAGCAATACAAAGAACAAACTGCTTATACAATGAGGAAAATACACTGAGTGCCAGATTATTATGATCTCTGAACATACAACAATTTGGCCACTCAGTGTATATCCTATATAATAAAAGGATATGCAAATTGTCCCCTCGACCAGGACTTCAACCACCATGCAGGCCAGCCAACCACCCATGTCCCCTCCCCTTGGCCAGGCTGGCCAGACCCCACCCATGCATGAATTAATGCGCTGTGATATTTTATACACAGACACACACACACACACACACACACACACACACACACACACACCGAGTGGCCAGATTATTATGTGTTCAGAGATCATAACAGTCTGGCCACTCAGTGTATGTACTGACTGAAAGAAGCTTGACAGAAAATAGTCTTTATTATTCCCCTTATATGAAGTTCTAGAAGAAATAGAATGCTGACATATAGAGTTGGGGGAAAGAGTTGCAGATGAAATCAATTCTGAGCAAAGGTAGAATGGAAAGTGTGGGGCAACTCCTGAAAAAGGTAAAAAACATTTTGACTAGTAATTAGGGTGCAGATTGAGACTTGACAGAAAAGTTAGGGTCGTATTCTAATCGCTTTAAGACAATACTAATTTGGATTTTGTTCTCTTGAACATTAAGAGCTTTTAGTAATTCCTGAACTTCCTTATTGAAAACTTTATCTCTTTTGTTGGTTGTAATTCTTAGAGGATGAAGAGGTCTTAGAACAGCGTGTTTTACCAACAACCAGGTGAGATTAGCTTAATGTGATGGGTGTGCTTGCTTAATCATTCCAGTTTGGAACATAGGAGAACAATGCTACTCGAGTATCTGCTGCACCATTCAATCCATTTCTTTTCTTCATTTTTAATTGGGTTAAGACAAAAAACCCTAGTTCATATAAACTAGTTGTTGTGAATGGTAATGATAGTAGGGTACTCTTTCTACTGAGAAAAGGAAAGTCTTCCTTTATTTTAATCCTCCAAAATACTGATAAACATAATGTTTCATAATCATTCTTCAATGTATATGAGGAACTGAGCTGCATTAATTCCCTCTCTTCTTCAGGCAATAAGTTTAACTCAACTATAGATTCTGGGTTTCAAAAAGCAAGTGGATCTTTTACCCAACAGTTTCCTCTTCATGTTTCAAGTTTCTCTTCTGGAAACAAATGACTAAAAGTTTGAGATAAAGAGGCGACATGTAACAATATTTCTTTTTCTTTCAAATTGGTTTCATTAATAATATTCTCTTCAATATGTTGCAAAAATCTTGGAAACATGTAGTAACTAGGCCAGTTGCTTTTAAGCCTTGCTTGCTGTAACAATAATGTCTTTTGGAATCCTTGGGTACGTTCAACATGTTGGAATACATCACGTTTTTCAGCTGTAGTTTTAAGCTTAGTTCATAAGAATGCCAAGAATATCAAGTAAATATGCCAATGTCATTACCAAAATGGCATCTTCAAAATACTTGCCAAGAAAGATTTTTTTTTTCAATGAGAATAATGTGAATCTCATTCCTGAGTTTGTAAATCCTGCTTTGTGTTTTCTCTTGAGACAACCTCCGAACTGTGGTGTAATACAGTAAGTGGGTATGATTAGTTCCAATCTCTGATCAAAATGTTTCAAGAAGTTGACTATTTAGTGAGCTTCCTTTAATAAAATTAACAACTTTCACTGAACTTTCAATACTTCCATGAGATTCTGTGGAATTTCTCTGGATGCCAAAGCTTCACAATGTATAAAACAATGATTCCACACAGCACCATTATTAGTAACTTTTAGCAATTTTTTTAATGATTCTGCTGTTTTCTAGTTGTGTTTGCTGTTCATCACTTGTAATTCCTCTGCAGTTTTTCCAGTTTCATTTATATTGACCAACAATGCACATTTCTAATTCTGTAAAAATGTCTAATCCACTTAGGTCTGAGGTAACATATAATCCACACAAAAAATCCTCCAGGAATTACCTTGCCACTCATATCTGACATAAACTGTTATGCAACTCCCAACATCAGTGCTCTAACCAAGCTGGCCTGCAAAATCTACACCAGAGTGCATCCGAGACATAAGCATGTTTCTAAATGTTCTGCAACAGCACAAATTCAAAGAAATGTTGTGTCATCACTAGAAATAGTTTTTTGTTTGTTTGTTTTTTAACATATTTTATTGATTTTTTACAGAGAGGAAGGGAGAGAGAGCAAGCTAGAAACATCGATGAGAGAGAAACATTGACCAGCTGCCTCTTGCATACCCCCTACCGGGGATTTGGCCACAACCAACGTACATGTCCTTGACCTGAATCGAACCTGGGACCTTTCAGTCTGCAGACCAACGTTCTACCACTGAGCCAAACCGGTTTCGGCTAGAAATAGTTTTTAATGTATCAGCTGATTTCTCATAAAAAATTGTACATACCAAGGATTAAGATGGAGACTGGCAAGAAGGTAAGGAGGGAGAGAGTGTGAGAGTGTAAGGGAGCGATAGAGGAGTGTATGGACTTGTGTGGGGTGTGTGTGTGTGTGTGTGTGTGTGTGTGTGTGTATGAGCTAGGGACAGTTAGATCCTGCAGGTCTTCCAAGCGGCTGCCAAACTGGGCAGTCTTAGATGGCAAAACCCTGCTGCCACCATCCACACTCTGAGGGCAGCCAGCTTGGGCACAGCAACCACACCATCTTGAAAAACAGAACTGCTTGAGACTAGGATCCTGGCCTCAGCACCACACAATCTGGTCTCAGACGCAAACTGAGACCCTACAGCCATTAGCTGCAGAAGAACAGACACCAAGAATTCAGTCATCCCTGGCGCAGATTTCTGAGTCACAGAGCCCACCCCCTCACCACAGGCTCCATGCAGCACCATAGGAACCGGTAGACCCGCCCTTCACACAGGGCTGCAACTCTGCTAGGGGAATTTGTACTCAGGCCCTGGGAATCTGTTCCCCATAACGCAATCGGGCAACCAAACCCCATGCCCACACAGGGCGGCAGTGCCACCTGGCTTTGAATCTGGGCAAGTGCACATGGAAGTCTGATTTACACAGCACAGGAGTGGACCTCCTGCCCACGCTGACTGGTACAGGAACTTGCTTAAAGTGGTAGATCTATATGTTAAGGTAGTCATTCCTGATACTTTCTGATGGGAGAGACTTTTTAGAGTGCCAGTTATGGTCAATTTAGTGAGGCTCCAATGAGGTTTTCCATGGTAAGGTCAACTGTCAGGTTGGAGCTGGTGATATATTTTTTAGTACTTTCTTCGAATGCATCCTTGATCTAGGAATAAGAACAGAGACAGGACATTAGAGTATTACAACACAGTACAATATTATTGTCAGCTCTGGGGACCTTTACAAAATCCAAGGTTGTGGGTGCCAAAGCAAAAAGCCTATAGTTCTCTTCATCACTCTGTTATATAGGCTTAAGCCTACTTCTGGAGGGCAAACCTCCTCAGCACAGATTAGTAAATAGAAAAATTATGTAAGCCTGGCTGGTATGGCTCAATGGTTGAGCATCGACCTATGAACCAGGAAGCCGAGGTTCAATTCCTGGCTGTGGCACATGCCTGGGTTGCAGGCTTGATCCCCAGTGGGGAACATGCAGGAGGCAGCTGATCAATGATTCTCTCCCATCATTGATGCTGCTTTCTTTCCCTTTCCCTTCCTCTAACTGAAATCAATGAAAACATATTTAAGCCGAAACCAGTTTGGCTCAGTGGATAGAGCGTCAGCCTGCAGACTAAAGGGTCCCAGGTTCAATTCCAGTCAAGGGCATGTACCTTAGCTGTGGGGCACAGCCCCAGTAGGGGGTGTGCAAGAGGCAGCTGGTGGATGTTTCTCTCTCATCAACGTTTCTAGCTTTCTATCCCTCTTCCTTCCTCTCTGTAAAAATCAATAAAATATATTTTTAAAAAAGGAAAAAAAAGAAAACATATTTAAAAAGAAAAATGTCAGTAAAACCTGCAAGTTGGCATCAGGAATTGCAAAGTTTACTGAAAAAGCTGAATACAGCAAGCCATGATGAAGTTGAACTCACTCACCACATAAAGTTGTCCTGCAGTATTCATGTGGGATTGGTTCTTGGTCCCCCAGAGCCACCAAAATCTATGGATGCTCAAGTCTCTTAAATAAAATGGCATGGTATTTGCATATAACCCATATTTGCATTATAGGCCACAGCAGGAAATGGCATGGTATTTGCATATAATCCATATTTGCATTATAGGCCAGCTGCATTATACATCACTTCATACACATAAATTGAGTGTAGTGCACTAAGGTTTAAGATGTGTGCATATAACTCTACTTCAGGGCAATGATGCTGTGCAGCTAGCTTAGGCATCCTTTAGGAAATAATTCTAATTAAGGTGACCAAACGCATTAATACAATCAGGTGATATGGTTTCAGGCTAGTGATTTTCCACTAATGAATCTTTTTATCTACCTACAGTAATGTTTATTATATGGTAGATACTCAATAAATACATTTGAAAGGATGAGAGAATAAATAACACCTGTACTAAGTCATACAATGTGCATTCTATTTTTATCAGTCAGTGAAAATTATGTTGCTAAACATACAATTTGGTAATATGTAAGACAAAGACTAATATATTATTTAATATAGGATCATTAAACATGTCTATTTCAAAATAAACTATAATGTTACATAGTAGAAACAATGGTCTTAAAAAACATAAATATCAATTATATTTAGACTTAGCACATAAAGCTCAATACCTAATCTACCTGAAATAAGAAACTCACATAAAAAAATTAACATCTCATGTATCAATATATTACTATAGGTTTGGGTTCTTTAATTGTCTTCTAATCATTCTGTTCTTTTATATTTTACTGTTCCCATCTCAATCCAGTAATATAAGTTTATAATTGGCTGTGCTTCAGAATGGAGTACTCTGTTTCCCCGAAAATAAGATAGTGTCTTATATTAATTTTTGCTCCCAAAGATGTGCTAGATCTTATTTTCAGGGGATGTCTTATTTTTCCATGAAGAATACAGTACACATTTATTGTTAAATGAAAATAAAGGAAATTTACTACCTGTATACGGTACGGTAGTTCGGTAGTTGTCAACACAAACCAGACAAACTGTGAATCCTACAGTATCAAGAATTTACTCATTTATTCAATGACAATCATGTCATCATCTTCTGGAACATCATCATAACAATCCAATTCCTGAATTTCCTGGTGAATTTCTTGTGACTCCATTTCTTTCAGAATCAGTGGACCAAATCTCTCATGTTTAGCCTAGAGGGACCTTATTTTCAGGGGATGCCTTATATTTCACTCAGAAGAAAACCTGTAAGTAGGCCTTATTTTCAGAGGATGTCTTATTTTCGGGGAAACACGGTATTAAAAAGTATTCTTAAAGGGCTTTCTCTCCTCAGACAACTTACTTACAGTAATAGCACAGGTAGTGTGTTAGAGTATAGACTTTGTAGATGTGGGGATGAAAGCATGACAAAGTCCTTTTCTGGATTAGGATGTAAGGTATCAGCTAAATGGGAGGCAGGGGAAAATGTTGCAAGTTTCACAGAAGGTATGACATTTGTCTAGGAAAGGGATGCCATGAACTAGGAAATAATTTCATAATTTAAGTGAGTCTGCATGATTGACTTACATGTTTAATGTAATGATCATTATTGTTATGAGGTCTAATTAACTGCCACCAATTTTTACCTCTTATGCATATCTTCATGATGCTATGAATATTATTTTCCAAAAATACAGCTTTGATTAGTTTCCTCATAATTCAAAAATGGTTCTGAGCTAGTTTAATTTCAGATATTCTTTAAATCTAAACTTCATCCTATCTTTCTAAATTTCTCTTTCATCACATATATCCACACAATTCTACATTTTAAGTTCTAAGACTATGGACATTCTAGAAATACCTCATGCACTTTCACATTTTTGCTTTTGTTCAGATTAATTCCCTTTGCCTGAAATGCTTTTCTTCCTTAAGTTATTTGGAATCCTATTAATTGTTTAGGATTTAGCTCAAATGCTACAGCATTCATCTATTCAACCAACAGTTATACACTTACAATGTGTCAGGTACTGGGGATACAAAGCAAGAAAACAAATATGATTTATTCATATAAGGGAATACCTGTGTCCAGCTGTTGCAATGAATGAAGGAAAGTTACATAACACTGACAAATCTTAAAAAGCATTAAGTAAAAGAAAGCTGTAAAAGGATATAAACATCACTGACTGCTAAACATATGCAAAACAATGCTGCATATGTAATTAAAAATTAAAACATAAATTTGCTTGGGAAAGTGGGTCATTTTGGACAAAAGGGGCCAGAATGTGATTGTTGGAGCAAAGGACTTCCATTACTTACATAATTGATTTCTCCAGTTGAACGGCAAGTACACATGTAGTATAGTTTTATTTCTACCTGTGTCAATCTAAAATATTCTATTTTTTTTTTTTAAGTATGCATAAGGATTGATTCCCCCCGGAAGGCACTGCAAACCTTCCACCTAACCAATCACTGAAAATTATTTCCATCCTTGTTCTCCCCTTTATTTCCCACATTGTCATCGCGCACACATCAGTACACAGGCTGCTGAGTGGGAGCTTCCAGGTAAAAGCTTTAATAGATTAGAAAGTAGCCCTCTCCCTAGGACCTTGGTCAGCAAACTGCGGCTCTCGAGCCACATGCGGCTCTTTGGCCCCTTGAGTGTGGCTCTTCCACAAAATACCACGGCCTGGGCAAGAAGTGGTATTAGAAGAAGTTTAAAGAAGAAGTGGCGTTAGAAGAAGTCTAAGTTTAAAAAATTTGTCTCTCAAAAGAAATTTCAATCGTTGTACTGTTGCTATTTGGATCTGTTGACTAATGAGTTTGCCGACCACGGAGATCCGGGACTGGTCCCTCCAATCCTCTGGGGAGCCAACAATGCCTTTTAGGAGCTTCAGCCTGACCCTTCCAGCTGACCCTGGAATGTCTCTCCCCAGATCTTGTATTGCTGCCCTCCCCCTGGCAGACATCAAGGCATCCTTGGAGGAAAACCTAGATGTGTCTCCCCCGCAACGAACTCTGGGATGTCTCCCATGGGCGGCCTCCGGCCCGTGCCCATCAGCGGTTGCCTCTCTTCCTCCTCACCTCCAGCCCAGCTCCGCGAACCGCTCCTCTAGAACCTAGGACCCACGATTCTGCTCTCCCCACAGTCCCTGGGCAACCCCACTTGCCGCCTACCCTCCTCCCCCCGCAGATATCCCGCTTTGAGCCGGAAGAGGGCGGTCTCGGTTTCTGCGCAAGCGCGGAACCTGGGGCCGGTTCCGCTTTCTCGCCTTCCGGACACTCCCGCGGCAGTCGAGCGAGATTTCCTACTCTCGCGTGAGGTCTTTGACGGCTCCGGCGGGAACCACAGCCGGCTGCCCGGAGTCGGAGAGTAGGAGGTTCGTTGTGCGGTCGGTGGATCGAGCTGCAGCCGAGCCCGCCTGCGCTGGGTCGCACCGGCCTGGGGACGGAGGAGAGGCCTCCCAGCCGCACCCGGAACCGGGCGAAGCTGGCGGTGGCACCGAGCCCCACCGACCGCAGCCCCGGAGCTAGGCACCGCCCAGCTTCTGCCTCCTTCCTCCTCCTCCCGCTCCCGCTAATGCAGCTGCGAGCGCATTCGGAAGTTTAAAGTATAGGTTAAGAAAGAGAACAAAGTTAGATACAGCACTTTTCAACTCTGAGACTTCACATGACTTTGTCAGCGTTTCTTCAAGTTACCACTTCTTTTACTAACAAGATTGCACAAAGAGCCAAAACCGGTTTGGCTCAGTGGATAGAGCGTCGGTCTGTGGACTGAAAAGTCCAAGGTTTGATTCTGGTCAAGGGCATGTATTGGTTGCGGGCACATCCCCGATGGGGGTGTGCAAGAGGCAGCTGATCGATGATTCTCTCATCGATGTTTCTAACTCTAACCCTCTCCCTCTCTGTAAAAAATCAATAAAATATATTTAAAAATATATATTTTAAAAAGATTACACAAAGAGGTTTTTACAATATATTTGATTAGCAAATATTTATTTCACATGGCTCAGTCCAACACATAGATTTGAGGATGTCTGGCTGTCCAGGCCAATTAGCATATTACGCTTTTATTATTATAGATTATTGTTATAGATTATAGTTTTTAAAACTACATAAAAAGAATCACAGCCGAAACCGGTTTGGCTCACGGTCTGCGGACTGAAAGGTCCAGGGTTCGATTCCGGTCAAGGGCATGTACCTTGGCTGCGGCGCATTCCCGGTAGGGGGTGTGCAAGAGGCAGCTGGTCGATATTTCTCTTTTCATTGACATTTCTGGCTCTCTCTCTCTCTCTCTCCCTTCCTCTCTGTAAAAAATCAATAAAATATATATTTTTAAAAATCACATACAAAGTACATGAAAAGCCATACACTGAGAAACTCTCGCTGGGTCCCTAGTCACCGTCCAGTGCAGTTCTTCATAGTTTCCTATCGATAACCACATTTAATGAGTTTCCTGCTTATCCTTCCAGTCCTTCTTAAATGTAAGCAAATGCAAATACATGTACTTATTTCCCTCTATTCCACCTTCACTGTTCTCTGCATTTATTCCTGTTATTTCTTTATTTTCCATCCCCACGCTACCTGCACTTCTACCCAGCTGAATACAGGTTCAGGGATTTCCACAACTACCCACCCTCTTCCACAGGGATGATTTTTTTGTTTTAGTTGATTGAAGAGAGGAAAAGAGGAAGAGAGAGATTGAAATATCAGTGATGAGAGAGAATCATTGATTGGTTGCCTCCTGCTCACCCCCTACCAGGGATTGAATCTGAAACCCATTTATGTGCCCTCACTGGGTATTGAACCATAATCTCCTAGTTCATGGTTCATAGGTTGACACTCAACCACTGAACCACACCAGCTGGGTGACAGGAGTGATAAATCTTTAGAATGACGGACTATTCAAGAAAGTGCTATACTTACTATTATAATCTATAATAATAATTCTACCTAATAAAAAAAGCAATATGCAAATTAACCATCACTCTGCTCGAGCCACGCCCACCAGCCAATCAGAGTGATTATGCAAATTAATCCCAACCAAGATGGCTGCAGCCATAGAGAACAGTTGAGAGGCTTGGGTTTCCCTGGCACGGAAGACATGCTTTCTGCCTGCCCTAGCTGGCCTAGGCCTCCACTCAAGGATACAAAGTTTCAATTATACAATAGAATATACATAAAACCAAACAGAAATGGCAGCAGCTGGAGTGAGCAGGGGGCTTGGCTCTGCTCCAGGCTACAAAGTTTCAATTGTAGAAGGAAATAAATTCCAGATACCAGGGCCTCCATTTGGGTCCCGGAGGGGGGTGGGGGCACGTGGTTGGCCTGCAAACCACCAAAGGCCCCTCACCCAGGCTGCCCCATTCCCCAAGCAGTGTTTCCCAAAGTGTAGAACACGTACCCCCAGTGGGTATGGGAAGAGTTTGGTGGGGGTGTGCACTGCACCTTGCTTAGCTGCACCTAATTCTACATTCTCATGAGTACGAGGGGTACTCAGCCTTACAAAAATTATAGAAGGGGTACACATATGTCAAAAGTTTGGGAAACACTGCCCCAAGGGAATACCCACCCTGATCCAGGACACCCTTCAGGGCAAATCAGCTGGCCCTCACCCATGTACCAGGCCTCTATCCTATCTATTAAAAGAGTAATATGCAGATTGACCATCACTCAAACACACAAGATGGCTGCCCCCATGTGGTCAAAGATCCTGGCCCTATGTGGACAAAAGATGGCCAGCAGTGGAGGGCAGTTGGGAGGCACCAGGCCTGCAAGGGAGGGCAATTGAGAGGGACCAGGCCTGCAAGGGAGGGCAGTTGGAGGCGATCAACCCTGTAGGGGAGCAGTTAGACATCAATCAGGCTGGCATGGGAGTGGTTAGGGGGTGATCAGGCTGGCAGGTAGAAGCGGTTAAGGGCAATGAGGAAAGTAGGCAGTCCTGGATTGTGAGAGGGATATCTGACAGCCTGGTGGGTGTGATTGGGTCTAAATGGGCAGTTTAACATCCTGTAAGGGGTCCCAGATTGGAGAGGGTGCAGGCGGGGCTGAGGGACAACCCCCCACCCCGTGCACAAATTTCATGCACCTGGCCTCTAGTCTATAATAATAAAAGCATAATATGCTAATTGGGCCTAACAGCCAGACATTCTTCTGGACGATGGGGCAGTGGCAGGGGCCGAGGCAAAGACAGCTAGGGGCAATCAGGCAGGCATGTAGAGTTGTTTGGGGTGATCAGGCAGGCAGGAGAATGGTTAGGGGCGATCAGGAAGGCAGAATGGTTGGGGGCAATTAGGCAGGCAGGCGAATGGTTAGGGCAGTCAGGTAGACAGGCAGGTTAGTGGTTAGGAGCCAGTGGTCCTGAATTGCAAAATGGATGTCCGACTTCCAGTTTAGGCCCAATCCCAGCAGTTGGACATCCCCCGAGGGGTCCTGGATTGTGATAGGGTGCCAGCTGGACTGAGAAAACCCCCTCCTCCCCTGCTCCCCCATGCAGAATTTTGTGCACTGGGCTTCTAGTTTTATTATAAAGGGTACAACTAGAAACAGTCAAATGGAAGAGATATATAAAGCAAGTATAGGAGTGCAGATCTGGGTGTGCCACCTTCTCAGCACCTTGGTGTATTCACCATCTTGGAAGCCTTTGAGCCTGGTTGTTAGGGTTTTTTATGAGATTTCATTGAGTTGGCATGATTGATTAAGTCACTGGCTATTTGAACTCAGCTCTCTAGTCCCTCTCCGCTTTCTGGGAATCAGTGGATGGGCCTGCAAGTCCCTTCCTATAGTCACCAAGCTGGTTTTTCTGGTGACCACCCTGTATCTGGAAGCTATATAGGATCTCCTAACCATGCCAAGACTCAGTCCTAGTGGAAAGGAACTCATGAATAATAGAAGACACTGCTATTAGTTCAGGAGTTATGAACCAGAATTATTTTTAAAGAATCTTGGTCATCATAACATTTCATCTAATAACTAGTATTTGGATTTTTAATTTTTTTTCCCAAAAAATGCTTTTTACATTTGTTTGTTTCTTTGAATTAGGATCTATATCGTGTCTATACATTTCATTTGGTTGTTTATTGTGTTGTTGTTTTTTATATATCTTTTAATATATAACAGGCTCTTTCTTTAAGAGTAGATGACTAAGTTAAAGTTTGACTTTTTTTCGGGGGAGAAAAAATTGTTCTTATGTGGTAGTTTATAAACACTACTACATATATATCAGGAGGTGAAAGGCTTCAACAATATTTTGAAATGGTGCCCTAATATATATGAATTAAGAATCATAAAGCAATAATATGATTCCTGTAAGCTATATTCCTCTGAATCTTTATCACCTCCAACCTCTCTGTTTTTACAGATGGGGAAAATAAGCCCCAGAGAGTTAACTATCTGCCAAAGGCCAAAGCAGGTAATTTAATGGAAGGTTGGGCTCTTTTTCATCTTAAACTACTTTAAAAATGTGCCTCACTTGCATATGCCATAATCTGAAGGTATTTGTGCTTCCAAAAAATAGAGGCAATCAGGATGGCATTTTGCCTGTCCAACTAGCTTTTGTGACTGAAAAGCAAAGGCATTATACATTGTACATTGAATCTGATTGGGTATATTAATTTTACAGGTTTTGGTGGTTTATTTTTTTTAATACATGCAGGTTACATCACTTGGATAATTGGGCCTTGGATAAATGTGCCCTCACCTGGACTCCAATGGTGACGCCCTGGTTTATAGGTTGACACTCAACCTCTGAGTCACGGCAGCCAGGCTATCACAAATTATTTTAAAAGCTTTTACCTTGATCATTTTCTAACAATAGAAATGAGTTAGCTGATGGGAGAAGGGAAAGTTTTATAACTGAAGTAAAAGTTTCATGAAAACTATAGCTTTGAAACTTTCAACACCTTTTGAGTAGTCCTGTGTTTTGCATTGCCAGTGTGAGAGCTAAGACTTGAGTTTGGAAGTCAGAGAGAGAAAGAGAGGCCTTAGGTAAGATTAAGCCTGAAGCCTGGCAAATCCAGGATGGGAAGAATGCAAAGAAATCTTTATAGGCTACAGTAGCAGTCCTAAATAATTTTTATTTGTGGCATTTGTTCACCTCATTTATTTTTATGCTGGTATGCTTTGTTTCCCATTTTAGTCCCTGCTTGTCTTCTAAATAACCGAGTTAATGTTGATTTGAAGAAAATAAATTATGTAACAAAATATAGACAGTGAACACTAGAGGGAAGTTGCATTGCTCTACTGATTACATAACTGAGCAGATGCTGTAAAATCAGTGATGCGTAAAAGTCATCCACAGCCTGGTTGCACTTCGCTGAGATATCTCGGCGTTGCTTTATCTGTGTGATGTATAAACGCAGTGCTTTCTTTTTCAGAGACTCTCACTGCACTGATGAGAATTTGCAAAAACAATGATGGTCAGCATATGACAAATTACCTTAAAAAATCTTTTTAAAAATATGCTTTTTATTGATTTTAGAGAGGAGGGGGAGAGAGATAGAAACATTAATGATGAAAGAGAATCAGTGATCAGCTACACCTCCTGCATGCCCCCTACTAGGGATGTGGCCTGCATGTGCCCTCACCTGGAATCCAATGGTGACGTCCTGGTTTATAGGTTGATCAGCTGCCTCCTACTGGGGATTGAGCCCACACCCCAGGCATGTGCTCTGACTGGGAATCGAATTGGGGACTTCCCAGTGCATGGGACAACGCTCAACCAACTGAGCCACATCAGTGAGGGCTCTAGTAATTTCTTCTGAAATGAAGCTTATTTACTACCAGTGAACTGATACAATACCAATGCTTAAAACATTCATTTATTTAGCAATTGGATGAATTATCTCCATAAATAAATACTACATTCCCCTGCAGGCTGAGTTTCATTAAAACAGCAACAAACATGTATTACAAATTTGAAAAGTCAAACCAGCCGAAAAGGTTTGCATTACATAAACAAGATAACTAAATGGTGTGTGTGTGTGTGTGTGTGTGTGTGTGTGTGTGTGTTAAAGAATGTGCCAATAACATACAAGAGAGACAGGCCAGATGCCATATCAGATCCTCTCTCGGGTTCTCGGGTTCTCTCTTCCAAGATGACTAAGAAAAGACAGAACAACACGCCAAAACAAAGCCGTGGCTGTGTGCAGCCCATTCACTGCAGCAACTGTGCCTGATGTGCACCCAAGGATAAGTCCATTAAAAGTTTGTCATTCAGCTGAAACCAGTTTGGCTCAGTGGGTGGAGCTTTGGCCTGAGGACTGAGGGGTCCCGGGTTCGATTCCAGTCAAGGGCCCACATCTTGGTTGCAGGCACATCCCCAGTAGGAGGTGTGCAGGAGGCACTGATTGGTTTCTCTCTCATCGATATTTCTAGCTCTCTATCCCTCTCCCTTCCTCTCTGTAAAAAATAAATAAAATATATATATATTTAAAAAGTTTGTCATTCGAAACATAGGAAAAACTGTAGCTGTTAGAAATATTTCCAAAGTGTCTTCCAAGCCTGTGTGCTTGCCAAGCTGTATGGGAAACCCCACTGCTGTGTGAATTGTGCCAGTCACAGCAAGGTGATCAGGAATCATTCTGGGAAAGCAGGAAGGACTGAACACCCAACCCTGATTTAGACCTCAGGGGCTGCCCCACGACCTCCACCAAAGCCCATGTCATGAGCTAAGTCCTTAAGGACTGAGAAAAGGTCTCCAGAAAAACAAGAAATAGAAATTGCCCTTAGAAAAACAACAACAAATGTGTCAATAGAACTTGAGGCAATCTGCCTGCATTTGACCGTAAGGAAAGTGATTCAGCTTCCTCTTGCTTCATTCCAAGGGTGTGGCACATGGCCTTCAAACGTTCCCTGTGACCCAGATTCTTTGGAGAACACAGGTGTGTGTGACTAGTCTTCAGGGTCCTAGCAGCATCGACATCCGTCTCTGCTGAGAGCCCATGGGGTGGGGTTGTTTCATGTATTTATTTTTTTCTTCAAATGTCAGGATTTTTATATAGTTTTGAACTGAGGGCCAGGTACTCTCATCCTAAGTTTGTCTTCCTTTCCTCAAGTAAACTTTAAATCTGCTCACATGGCATAAAGGGTTATTTTTTTTTATGACATGTTTAAAACCATTCATTAAGCCTCCAGTGTACACAAAGCTCCACGTAGGCAGTGGAGTTGGTGAGGAGAGCGGGAAGAGACGACCAATAGCCTGGAGTTATACCTGGGCATTACCCATGGGTGCTCTGGAGTTTGGATCATTTCAGATGCATCTGATATCCTTGTAGCATGGCCCATGCACAGTTTACCTGATTTACTGAGGTAGCTTGCAAAGACAGGTCATCCTGAGGGGAAGAGGAATGAGCTGGACCAGCACAAACACCCTGGTTGGAGTGAAGGCGGGATTCTGAACATGATGGCGTGGCTGTTCAGAATCCTCACCTTTGCCCTGGCTCCCACCCCTGAGAGCATACCCGCTGCTACAGGGCTTAAGTGACTACGTTTGGAAGCTACTTTCTAGGGCACATGAGGCTGAAACAACTCTCCTTTGAGACTCCTTAACGTGTCACAAAGAAGAAAGCCATTCTTTGCTACCTTTGCACCTAAGCTCATGATCTGAAAATACAGGGCCCAAAGAAAAATGGGAGAGACCCAGCGGCTCACTTGTCACCTGGAGTAGCAGTAGTTATAATGAATTTATAACTGAGCATGTGAGAAACACCCCTGGGGACTCCCAAGTGCTTCATAGTAATGCTTGGGAAGATGTGCTGAGGCCTCAGGTTCTATGTTTGCTGGGGAACCTTAGTGTGAATCACTAAGGTTCACACATTAATGCTATTGTGACTTCATTTGTATCTGGGGGCTGGTGGGACCTGGAAAAATATCCTATATAATAAAAAGATAATATGTAAATTGACCATACTTTCACTATGACCAAGCCATGTGCACCAGCCAATCAAGGCGAGTATGCAAATCAACCCAACCAAGATTGTGGTTAATTTGCATATCAAGACAGTGTAGAAAGAGGCCAAGTGCTACAGAAGGGAGCAAAACTGCAGAGAAGCAAGCAACCTGGGCAGGGGAGAAGGGAGGGAAGCAGGTGGATAAGGGAGGGAAGTATAAGGGAGAGAAGCAGCGGTCTGGGGGAGAAGGGAGGGAAGCAGGCAGGGAGGGAGGAAAGCAGGAGGAGTGGTGGAGACCACAGCAGGAAGCCCTATTGCAGGAATCTTCCTGCAACGGGCCTGTAGTGGGTTCTATAAAAATGAACCAAGAGTGTCCCTACTTCCCAAAGGGGCCCACGTTAGTGAGGAAAAGGCCGTGTTCACATCAATGAAAAGAAAATGCAACACATTCATTGTGAGCTGATGTGCCGCACTAGCTGCCTCATTGAATGACACATAAGAGAGTTAGGGTCCCATTCTGGAAGAATTGGGGCACCATTAGAAATGGTTGTTTGTTAATCCTTACCTGAGGATATTTTTTCCCATTGGTTTTTAGAGAGTGGAAGGGAGGGGAAGAGACAGAGAGAGAAACATCAATGTGAGAGAGATACATAAATTGGTTGCCTCCTGCACATGCCACAACCAGGGCCAGTAACCTGTAACCGAGGTACATGCCCTTGACCTGGAATCAAACCTGGGACCCTTCAGTCCATAGAGCCGATGCTCTATCCACTAGGCCAAACTGACCAGGGCCCATTAAATGTTTATAACTAAAGGAGAGTCATTTATCAGATCTCTGTCTTAGGAACATGTCTGACCAGTTGGTCTGCTAGAGGACCGAAAAGGGAAAGTTAAAATCAGGGAGACCAAGCAGGAGTTAAGTAGGGCCTAAATTGGGTCGACAGCAGCATGAGCAGCGAAGAGAGGATGGACTAGAGATACTTAAGAGGACTGTGTATCTTATTAAATATTGAAGTGATGGAGAGTGAGAGCTTTTAAAATAACTCCAAAATCTCTAGAGGCAGTATCATGCCCACTAGAAGTTACAAACTCTGGGGGTGGCCTGCCCAGATTGGAATCTTGGCTCTGTTATTCAGGGGCTAGCCTATCTTCTCCTTCTCTGTAAAGTAGGGATGATGATCATATCTACGCTTTATACAGTTTTCCTGTGAATAGATATAACTTAGTACCAAAAAGTGCTTAGCACAGTGTCTTGTACTAAAGTTTGTTTGCTATCATTGTTCCATCAAGGGTAATTTGATGGACAGTGATAAAAATTAGGTGCAGATACATAGACTTGGCAAATGCCATCGACCGAGAAAATAGTGAATTTACTTTTAGAAACACTGAATTTGGAATTTCTGATACACGGTAGTCCCACAGAGTTTGCTAAATAATAATGGAAACAAGCCCTAATTGGTTTGGCTCAGTGGATAGAGCATTGGCCTGCGGACTCAAGGGTCCCAGGTTCGATTCTGATCAAAGGCCTTGGTTGCAGGCACATCCCCGGTAGGGGGTGTACAGGAGGCAGCTGATTGATGTTTCTCTCATAGATGTTTCTAACTCTCTCTTTCTCTCTCTCTTCCTCTCTGTAAAAAATTAAAATATATATTTTTAAAAATAGAAAACGGGCAGGTTCTTTTTTAAAGTACTTTGATCACTTCCCAGGCACTGTCATAAACTCCTTGCCTGTGTCATATCATTTAAACTTCATATAACCACCAAAACCGGTTTGGCTCAGTGGATAGAGCATCAGACTGAGGACTGAGGGGTCCCAGGTTCAGTTCCAGTCAGGGGCTTGTACACCTTGGTTGCGGGCACATCCCCAATAGGGGGTGTGCAGAAGGCAGCTGATAGATGATTCTCTCTCATCGATGTTTCTAACTCTCTATCCCTCTCCCTTTCTCTCTGTAAACAATCAATAAAATATATTAAAAAAAATAAAATAAACTTCATATAACCCTGTCAGATAGGTAGTACTATTTCCATTCCACAGTTTCTTTAGCAAAATAGTGAACAGGTTTGTGGCTTAACAATACTGACAATGGCTTCACTCCTATCTAGAAGGTGAATGAAGTTCTGATTTACTCTGCTGGTGGAAAGTAAGAAAGTAGGCCAGCTGGAATTTGAACCCAGATAATGAAGTGTTTTGAAACCTCTGTCCCCTAATATCTCTTAATACCATATTTGTAAGATATGGTACCCCATTTTATAGTGCTTGATATTTAATAATTAAAAAAATGATCTCTTATTGAATGGCTACTATGTGCCAAACAATTTACATATTTTATCTTCAGTCTTCACAAAAACCCATCAGGGTATCATCATCAATATTTTACAGCAGTGGAAACCAAAGCTCAGAGATGTTCAAAGAACTTCTCCATAGTAGCATAATGACTAAGCAGCAGAGAATGATTTTAGTACAGGTCTGTTTATTTCCAAAGTTTATACACTTTCTACAGTAATCTAGCTTCCAAATTTAGCTGTATTACATTTAGTGTATTGTGTCATTGTGTTTTGTAAGTGATACCATGAGTTCCATGAATTCTACAATCAACTTACCGCGTTAGTAACCAGAATAGCACTTGTCAAACATTAGTTTCATATGAATCATGAGACCTTGCCCCAAGTGTACTGAATGAAATTTCCAAGGGTGAGTCTCAGAAAGCAGCTTATCTTTAAAAGGACCTGCTGGGACATTAATCTGGTTCCCTGAGGGCTATTTTTGAAGAACACTGTCAGGGATGGGACTAGTTCAGGCACCTTGGGCCTATGTACTCTCTGGTTGAAGTCATTGCATTTGTATTGTCAGTACATTTGTATTGCTTCTTGATGATTATTTCTGAACTATCATTAATGTAGCTAAGAGAAGCCCTTAGCTAAGCACCTTGAAGTACTGTGTCCTCTCCTCCTGTTTGCCCACATCCTGTTTCCCGCTCTGCAGCTCTTTGCATTGATAGAACTCCTAGCAAGGCTACCTGGTAGGACAGGTGTTTAGTGGAAAGTCAGGTGTGATAGACATACAGAGAGAGCATTGCAGGGCAGTGAAAACAAGATATCTGGCTTCAAATTCTGCTTTGTTTCTTGGAGCTTTGTTTGGTTCATTCATCTGTGAAACCGGATTGACAGCACCTGCTTCACAACGTTGGGAGATAATGTATATAGTTAGTCTATGAGTTGCGGTCATTGAAGTCTATCATCAACCCATAATTCATCCTTCCATTCGGAGAGGAAGATCATAGAAGTATTTTGCCGCATGTAAAAGGAGGCATAGCATTTCTTAGGAATGTTCCGTTAGAGACTGGCAAGATTAAACATGTGTAAATATGTAATTCTGTATGAATAATAACACTTCCCTTATTTCAACTGACCCTAAACTCCAATTGGACGTTTCCATTTGGTACATATTTCACAACCATCTCACTCACCACCCATCCTGCAGACTAGCTCAACATGACTAACTTTTCCACTCAACGGGCTAGAAGGCCAACTTGACTGCACCCTCAGGAAAGAACCTGATCTAGACAGACTCAGCTAAGACACTCCAGAATTCCTGATCTGCAGGAACTGTGAAACAGTGAACACTTTAAGACACTATGTTTTGGGGGAATTTATTACGCAACACTAGATACATAATGTTATAATAATAAGAAGAAAAAAGTTTCTTCCTTCAGCCAGTGATATTTTGTGTTTCCTGTCACATAACAGCCAAACCTAACTCTGTGACCCGCCCTTCTCCAGTTAATGTGTAGGATTAACTTAACACACACACACACACACACACACACACACACACACACACCCCACAAAACAGTTTTCAAGGAGCTGTGTGTAGGTACCAGAAACTGAGAACTGGAGGAGACCAGAGAGAGAATCTTACCCAATTGGCTCAATTCACAGGCAGAAGTGAAAGCAAATATTTAAGAGCTCCCTATGCCGGGATTTACTATGTTCCATAAAAACATGTAATTCTTAGGACATCCTGTGAGGTAAATACTAATTCATTTTATCATGAGTAAGCCGGGTCAACACTCCAACCACTTTCCTTTTCTGTCTCTCTACTGTTACCAAATACTTTCCAAGCAGTCCCATTAAAAGCCTATGTCAATGTTTTAATACAGTCTTGCACGTGAGGGAAAAGACCTGTAGTAGCCAAATAATCACCAAGGTAGAGACATTTGAGGAAAAGTGAGTGGATCAAATCACAGTTAAATAGTTACACAAAGAGAATAATGTTTGGTTGAAGGGCAAGTAGCCCTTGATGGCCTTATCTAGATGGTTGGTTACTAACTTCCCTTAATAGGTAAGCTCTTGCCTGGGACAGACTTACATGTGTTTTAGATTAATTAACATGTATTGGTCATCACTCTCAGAGGCCCTCTGACCTCACCTAGTGCGTGAAGCTCTAGAATGTGCAAGAGATTTGCCCACGGCCCCTTGGGTAGGTGGTAGTGGCAGAGGTAGAATCAGAACTCAGGTCCCTCCTCCTGTCCCCTCCCCAAAATGCTATTGGTCAATGAATGGGAATCAAACGTGTGTAAGACATTTCTATTTCTTTCTGTCTACGTAGCTCTCAGCATTTTATAATTTTCTGGAAGTAATATTATGGAATCAGGGATATTTTTTGTACTGTGTTTGGGTTTCTGAGGGTGTTTTTGTTTTGTTTTGTTTGTTTAATGTCAGGGGTTGGGAGGAAGGAAACAGCTGATACTTCCCTGAACACTTCTTTTCCCTTTCTGTAGGCAAGAATGAAGCAACCACCTGCCAGATTTCATCATTGTGGGAAATGCAAGCCGACACTTTACAGGAAGCTTATCGTTCATTTCTGTTCCAGCTTGTGATAGTTTTCCTTGATACATGGCTTGAACAGCTCAGGCAAGTTGCCTTGGGAATAGCCACCTTCCCCTCAGGCCAGCTACACAGACACTGTACCATCTGGTTCCATGCAAGTCAGCCCATAATAGAGCCTTTGATGGCAAGTCAGAAGTTGGAATAGACTTGCCAATATTTATTAAAAACAAGATAAGCAACACGCTGGCACGTTTAGGAAGTAAAAGGTCCTCTTCTGCTTGGGATTTTTGCACAGTAACTTGGCACATTATAGCTCCATATTTGTATTGAAGTAAACTATGGCCTTAGCATTATCTAAACTACTTCTCTTCAAAGGGTAATCTAAGGAATGGGACTATGTACGTGGACCCTTAGGTTGCTTGTGGTGTGACCTATATTCTTCCCAGTCACCTTTGCCTGCAGCTCAGCGGTTAGTGGCACATATTAGGTATATAGTTGGTTGATAAAAATTAATGACAGAGAATTGTCTTTCAGTGTAGGGTTAAGTATCTGTTCTAGGCTGAGAAAGACAGATTTTATCTCCCTGATTTTCCATTAACTAGCTCTAGACCTTGGACAAATCAATAACTGTCTAAACACCATTTCACTTTTTTGCCACGTGAGAAAAATAGTACCTTCCACATACAGTAATTGTGAGGCTTACAATGACACTCCACATAAAGCATTTATAGTGTCTGGTGAATGGCAATACCTTAATACAGTATAATTATTATGTTCTATTTCCACCTATATCTTTTTTTTCCCCTTTATTCCTCTCCCCACTCTGCTTTTTCTCATCTTTTTATTTCTGTCCTATCTGTCCCCTTTTTCTTTTATGCTTCTTCCTTGCCCTGGCTTTCTGTTATCCTCTGCCATCATATGTCCAAGCATTTCTTCTTTTCCTGTGTGAGGCATCAATGAGCCACGTATATGGGCTTCACCCCTTTCAAAAAGGCCAAGTAGCAGCTGTACTCCAATCTGATGACCTAGCCTGTTCATCACAAATGGGAGGCATGTGCTTCAAAAATGCCATTTTAGGAAGGGGCACTGAGACTCATTGTGAATACATAAGGACACTGAGCAGGGAAACGCCCAATGAGATAGATACCCCTCCCCCAACTTTCTAGCAACTGCGTGGACTTCTATTTATATATATATATAATTGATATTTTACAGAAAGAAAGGGAGAGGGATAGAGAGTTAGAAACATCAATGAGAGAGAAACATCAACCAGCTGCCTCCTGCACGCCCCCTATTGGAGATGTGCCCAGAACCAAGGTACATGCTCTTGACTGGAATCGAACCTAAGACCCTCCAGTCCACAGGCTGATGCTCTATCCACTAAGCCAACTGGTTAGGGCTATGTGGACTTTTAAAAGAGCTGGTGGCAAACTTGGCAGGAGATGGAGGCCCAGCCACGATGAAGGGTCCTGTATGTGTCATGTAGGAAGCGCCCCGGGGGGGTTTGGTGGTCTCAGGAACAGAACTCAGCTAGAACTTGCTGGAATGGCCTCCTAGTGACAAGCTGAGAAAGGGCCACGCCAGAAGGATGGGGCCATGTGGCAAGAGACGAAGTCAAAGGCCTCAAGGCACAGCCACAAGAAGCCTCCAAGGACTCTCTTTATATGGCTGTGAGGTAGAATGGCCTCCACAGGGCTGGAGAGAGTACCTGTAGCACAGTTCTTATGGTGGTTAATGTCAAAACTGAAATCTTTTTTTAAAAATTAGAACTTTTTTTTTAATCCTCACCCGAGGACATTTTTTTTCCATTGATTTTTAGAGAGAGGGGAAGAGAGAGGGAAAGACAGAAATATCAATGTGAGAGAAACACATTGATTGGCTGCCTCCTGCACATGCCCTGACCAGACAGAGCCTGGGCCCCGGAGGAGCCTGCAACCGAGGTACAAGCCCTTGACTGGCATCAAACCCAGGATTCTTTTGGTTCACAGGCCAATGCTCTATCCATTGAGCCAAACTGGCTAGGGCTAGACTCTTTTCTTTTCTTTTTTTAAATAATGTATTTTTATTGATTTCAAAGAGGAAGGGAGAGGGAGAGAGATAGAAACATTAATGGCGAGAGAAAAACATTGATGGGCAGCCTCCTCACCCCCACTACCAAGGATCCAGTCTTGATTGGGAATTGAACTATAACCTCCTGGTTCATAGGTCAATGCTCAACCACTGAGCACACCTGCTGGGCATAACAATGAAATTTTTAAAAAAAGAAATTGTTTTTCAACTACAGAATTTTGGGAATTTTTTGTTAAAAATTTGAGAAATGAAAAGAAAAAAGTAGCATCTGGCATGGCATTTTAACTCAGTGCCTATCTTTTATTTTAATAATGCCATCATCCCTACCAAAAGCTTTCCTGCTAATTCTGTATCCCTTGTTGATTGGCTATTTTGACTGACAGGGAGGATTAACTCTGGTAGGAGTTAGGAATGGAATTCCAGCTGTTTTACAATAGCAACATTCTTTCATTGCTTGTTTTCACAACTAACCCCCTGTTGGGGAAAGTGCTGAGTCACACACTCAAATAAACAAGAGTTCAATGTCTTGGAGATGACTTTCCCTGACCAGTAACCCTTTCCACTGCCCTCCAGCTAGGATTAAAAAACACTAAAGAAGTGACCTAGCGTCATATTTTTAGGTCACCAGGGAATGACTGGGCATCTTTTGTTTTCCTGGTAGCATGCAGTTTTTCTGAGAGAATGAGAAAGAAGAAACCACATTTCCCCCAAGCACTCATTATAATAGTGCAGATTTTCACTGCTCCCTTCATATGCTTTATCCAGTCTCCTTGGCCAGTAACGAGGTGGTCAGTTAGAATTTCTTTGCTCTCCTAAAACCAGAAAGTATCCTAGGGAGGTAATTAAACCAACAACCTTGGCCTCAATAAGAGTTCCTGATCTGCTGTAGTTGCAATAACCTACAATAATGACACTAAATTGATCAATGTCTTTTTTTTTTCTGGGGCTAAAGTTTAATGTAAATCAATCATTTGTCTGGATGTATCAGGTTATTAATTGCTACATTACTCAGCATATGGAAGTGATGTTAATAGCTTCTTGCCTAGGGAAGAATGACCCATACGACTTATAATTTATTACTTTATTATTATTTTTTCATTTTGTCATCTTAAACTAATTCCCTGAAATGGCCAGAGTCCAAAGTGGCTGTTTTTATTATTCCGCTGACTACACAGCTTCAAATTCTGGATTACAGGGAAACTGTGTTCATGGATTTTTGGTTGTTCAATGCCTATCTCATGTGCCTAGTTCTGGGGGGTACACAGACAAACAACACAGACACAGACAGGCATTGGGAAATAAAACACGGTCTATTAAAAGTTAGTTAACCCTGGCCAGTGTGGCTCAGTGGTTGGGCTGGTTTGATTCCTGGTCAGGGCACATGCCTGGGTTGTGGGCTCAATCTCAGGTAGGGAGAGTACAGGAGGCAGCTGTACTGCTCTGAAACTGACATTTTTCTCTCTCCCTCCCTCTCTAAAAATTAATAAAATAAAGTAAAAATAAATAATGAGAGCAGACGACAGACAGTACTTACCATGTCCCAGGTACTAGTATACGTAGTACACTGGTCTGGAGGGCTGGGTAGGGACCAGGTGACCTGTGGGGGACAGATATAAATGCACTCTCTTAATCCTCACCACAATCCTATAAGGTAAGTATTTGTCTGAGCCAGCTTAGACTGGGGCGCTCATAAACAACTGACATTTATTTCTTAGAGTTTTGGATGTTTGAAGTCCAAGATCAGGATGCCAGCATGGTTGAGGGCCCTCTTCAGGGATAGTCCATAGTAATTATTTTATGCATGAGGAACCTGAGGCCCAGAGAAGTCACGTAGCTTACCAAAGGTCATACAAGTAGTACCAGGCAAAACTGATCAAACCCCTATGGTGTCATGGAACTGTGATGGGTAACAGGCATAAAAGAAGTGAACAGAACATGTCTGGTTCTTGCCCTCCTCAAGATTATGGTCATTGTTAACCAAACACACTTCAATATAGGGACTCCATTTTATTTCTTCACTCTTTACTCACCATGAAGCAAGTAACATAACCCTTCCCAGGCTCCCAGCCTTTCCTGCTTTCTCCCCTCACCCCCTTGTGTGTGTGTGTGTGTGTGTGTGTGTGTGTGTGTGTACATTGGTCCTCCAGCCAACCAGTGGAGAGTTGATCAGGGTAAATGTGAGGCAGGATAGTAAGAAGCTAGAAAAATTCCTTGGCAAGCAATATGGGGAAACAGGCAGCTGAATACACTGGCTGAAGAATTTACAGCCAGATACAGAAGGTCACGTCCCTAGAGATAACATCTAGGCCTCAGTTATATTTCAGCCCCAGGCCCAGAAAAGCAGCCAAACCAGGTGGACGGTGCCAGGACAGAGCGGCTGCAATGGTGCTGACCAATCAGGGGAGACCGCAACCCTAAAGGTCACCTCTGGAAAACTGATGAATATTCTGCTGAAACCCTCTGCTGAGACCTCGACCTCCTCTAGAATTCCCACTACCTTGCAAAAGAGAGATAAAAGCCCTCAAGACAAAGGACTCTAACCTTTCCCCTCCCCCCTCATCCTCTCCCACAAGTGTGTATCTCTCTTTTTTAAAATTTTCTTTATTAAGGTATTACATATGTGTCCTTATGCCCCTTCCCCAAGTGTGCATCTCTTACACTTTAAGGGACCCCTTTTACAACTAGAACAATGGGCAGTGGCAGCTGGTCCCTAGCGAACCCCTAAAACCTGCCCCCAACGTCCCTTTTCTGACTTCCCAGTGAGCTACAGCAGCCCCTCCTCCGCTCATTTTCTTTGCTGTAACATTTCTAGACAAAGCAGCCCCACCTCGCCACTCCTCTGTTGCTTCTTCTATCCTACACCCTTCCTTGTTTCACTCTCCCCAACTTCAATAAACTTCCTCTCAGCATCTCCAGGTCTGGTGTTGTGAAATTTTCCCTCAGAAAGTCGAGAACCCACACGTTACCAGCAGCGCTAGCACACCTTGTCTGGGCCAGGTCCCCTTTCAGGTAAGAAATGGTGCCCATTAACGGGGTTTCCTGGTCTGGGGGGCTGGGGTAGGGACAGGTGACCTGTGGGAGACAGGCATAGAAGTTTCTTTCAGCAATGTGGGCGAGAATAGGCCCCTTTGCTAACCTGACCAGCTCGGGGAAGGCTGCATGGCAGGCTCACAAACTCAGACCTAAGAGAAACCTAAAGGGTGGTCTGAAATTAAAATTTTTTAAAACTAAAAGCAGCTTATGGTGGGTAGTCATGTCCTAGGCTGGTATCTTCCCTGGCAAAGGCCAATCTTTACCTTAACTGAGTCTGTCTACAGCCTTTTTGCATCTACACTAGCATATTTCTGGATTGTGAAAGTACTTTTCCTTTTCTCCGGACCCCTCAATGCACAGGCACTACTCTTGCCGAGACCACAAATCCCCTCATTGTTACTGAGTTAATGGTTGACTGTTAACTATCCTGCAGCCACCTAGTGAAAGAAGTACGTGCCTATCATTTTACTTTTTATCCACTCCCAGAGGTCTCCTGGCTTTGCTTTCTTCCACCTCCCTAATATATGGCCAGTGGATTTCATGTCACCCAGTTACATCTTCTCTTTTGATTGTACTGTGTGCCACAGGTGCAAACCTGCCACTCTCCAGCATTACCTCCATCTGCTGATATCCTGCTTTCCAGCATTTGTCCGCAGCTTGACTCAAATAAACTCACAAAGCTTCTTCACATATATGAACTTTGCTGAGGTGGACAACAGGGATCTCCCTAAGGCTCCTTGCTTTCTGAGCTGCCATTTAAAATGGACATGCCTCAAGGTTCTCAACCGCACTGCTCTCCTGTGACTCTGCCCGTCCCCCACCGCCCAAGGCCTCTCTGACCTCCCTGACCTGCCATTCCATTGACATCCCTGACCTGCCATTCCAGTGCTTGAGGCGCCTTCCCACCTCCTCAGTGCCCTGAAATTTTCCCTTTCTTGAAGCCTCCAGAATTCCAAGGCCTTTCCCTCCCTCCTGCCCCAGAGGAGATGGTAGGCAATGCCCAGCTGATGCCTAGCGCCTTGAACCCTGCCTGCCCTGCCCCCAGACCCAGACCCAGGCACCTGCCCTGAGCTGCCTGCTGGGGTCACTGGGGTCTGTGACCTGCCACTGGGAGGTCAGCCCCGGCTTGAGGAGACCCACACTTGGGAATGGCAGGAGGCAGAGGGTGGCACAGGAGGCCTGGGCCCCACACAGCACAGTCCCCCTGGCACACAGGAGGCCTGGGCCTCGCACAGCAGTCCCCCTGGCACACAGGAGGGCCGGGCCCCGCACAGCACGGTGCCCCTAGCACACAGGAGGCCTGGCCCCGCACAGCACCGTCCCCCTGGCACACAGAAGGCTTGGCCCCGCACAGCAGTCCCCCTGGCACACAGGAGGCCTGGGCCCCGCACAGCAGTCCCCCTGGCACACAGGAGGGCCTGGGCCCACACAGCACGGTCCCCCTGGCACACAGGAGGCCTGGGCCCCGCTCAGCACGGTCCCCCTGGCACACAGGAGGCCTGGGTCCCCGCACAGCAGTCCCCCTGGCACACGGGCATCAGGGCCCAGGCGGGCGGGCAGCGCTCCCTGTCCTGCGGCCACCATGGTGCGTGGCTGCCTTGGCCTCAGGGTCTGCTGGGCGCCTTCTGGGTGAGAGATGAGCCGAGAGCGCCCCTAAAAGCGACACCCCGTTTCCGCAGAGGATGCGTCTTCCTTTGCAAAACAAACAAGGAGGAGCCTGGGTTCCCTTCGGAGACCCGCGAAGCGGGTACGGACCGCACAGGGCGAAGGAGGGAGGTGAGGTGGGCGCTCGGCCCGCGCCATGCGCCGGTCACGTGGGCGGGGGGGGGGGCCCGCATGGCGCCGGCCCGCGCGCCCCCGCCGCCGCCGGGCCTCCCGGGCGCGCGCGCCGACGGGGCGGGCGCATGCGCAGGGGGGCGCGCCGCCTCTGCCCGCGGCGAGGGAGTCTATGGCGAGGCGGCCGCCGCGGCTGCTGAGGCGGAGGCTGGGGCTGAGGCGGCTGCGGCGATGGCGCCCTTTCCCGAGGAGGTGGACGTGTTCACCGCCCCGCACTGGCGGATGAAGCAGCTGGTGGGGCTCTACTGCGACAAGGTAACGGCGCGCGCGCGCGGGGCCGCGGCTCGGGCGGCGGGAGGAGCGGCCGGTCCCCGGCGGCCTGGCCTGCGCCGCGCCCGCCGCCCCGGGCCGCCCCGCCGCCCGTGGAGCTGTCAGCGCCCGCCCGCCGCCCGCAGCCTCCGACGCGCCCGCGGGGATGGCGGGCGGCGGGGTCCTCCCGGCGGGGGGCGGCTTCCCGCGGCCGCGCCCGCCTCCCGCGCCTCCGCCTGGAGGGAGCGGGGCCCGGACCTCCGGGGACCCCGGCGCGGCCCGCAGCCGGGGGCTCCCCCCCAGCCCGGAGGGCGGCCGCGCCCGCCGCCGTCCCGCCCGCCCCGGCGCCGCCGCCCCCCGCCACCCCCGCGGCCGGTTTGGGGGCCCCCCCGCGCCCCTGGGCAAGCCCCCATCCATCCATCCATCTTCCGAACCCCGCGCTGGCCCCGGGGGGAGCGTCTCCCACACACCCGGCTCCTGGGAGCCGCAGCTTCTCGCGGGTTACATTTGGGAGGAACCCCGGGTCTCCCGGCTCAGCAGCTCCTCGTTTGTGGTTATTTTATTTTTTTATTTTTTTCGTGGCAACTTTCTATGGTCCCCAGGTCTGACGCCTGTAGGTTTTGGAATTCTTGGATAAAAAAAGGGGGAGGGAAGGGCTCGGAAAAAGTTGCTTTGCCCGGGGACCTCGTTGGACCCCTTTGGTGGGTGCAGCCCAGGCTGAGCGGGGCCTTGGGCTGACGATCTGAAAACAATAGTAAGAGCCCTCTTTTTTTGTCCGTGTACATCGGGCAGAGTCCATGTGGATGCCCTGGAAACTTGGGGCAGCGGTGTCTCTCGTGGAAGGGAATCAAATTGAAAACAAACAACATTTAAAGTATGGCTTCAGCCAAAACCGGTTTGGCTCAGTGGTAGAGCGTCGGCCTGCGGACTGAAAGGTCCCAGGTTCGATTCCGGTCAAGGGCATGTACATTGGTTGCAGGCACATCCCCGGTAGGGGGTGTGCAAGAGGCAGCTGGGCGATGTTTCTCTCTCATCGACGTTTCTAGCTCTCTATCTCTCTCCCTTTCTCTCTGTAAAATATCAATAAATATATATTTAAAAAAATAAAAAAGTGTGGCTCCAGCGCAGAAACCAACCAACGCTTGGGAATTCTCAGACGTTCCATGGCATTCACAGAACCAACCGTGCAGAGGGGTCCTCACAGCCCGGCGAAATGGTTGGAGGACCCCAGGGTGCTCATTGCCAGGCCACACTCAAAACCAGCAGCTGAAAGGGCACCCACCACCATCCTTCCCTTCCCTTCATTTTGGAAAACTAAAAAAAAAGCAAAACAGCTCTAGCTGGTTTGGCTCAGTGGGCAGAGCATTAGCCTGCGGACTGGAGGGTCCCAGGTTTGATTGCGGTCAAGGGCACATGCCTGGGGTGTGGGCTCCATCCCCAGTCGGGGGCGTGCAGAAGGCAGCCGATCCATGATTCTCTCTCATCATGGATGTTTCCCTCTCTCCTCCCTTGCTCTCTAAAATCACTAAAAAATATATTAAAAAAAATAAAACAAAACCAAAAGCCTAATTCAGACATAGGTTTAAACACCAAGATATTCCAGGGCCGTGCTTGTCAGCCTTGGCTGCTTGTGAGGGCCGCCCCGAAAGCTGTTCGACATCCTGATGCCTACACCGGTAAAATCAGGATCCGGGAGGGTGGGACCCAGGCACCAGATGCACAGTCATGTGCACGGCATGACTTCCGTGTAGGAGGAACCGCATCTCCTACCTTGGCCCAGTAACCGAGACTTTCCCCGGGCCCAGTGACTTTGCAGTCTTTGTCCCCAGCACGTTCCTCACGCGGTTGTGGGGATGCTGCCACGGACAGACCTAGTGCCCTGCCAGTTAGTGAAAGTATAGCACGTGAAATTCTGCACAGGACATAGGACCTGATGATAATAAACGACTCTTGCTGGTTACTGTATTTATTATACTATACTTTTTATCGGTATATTTTTTTTTTGAGTGTACCTTTTCTGCTTATAAAACAAGTTTGCTGTGCATCATGTCATGGCACATCTCTTGACTGCATTATTGTCTCTTGTGCTTGATTTGATCTTCTGTTTTGTACAGTAACGGGTTTGTAGCCTAGGAGCAATAGGCATACCTTGGTGTCTAGTTGGCTATATTAGATTGTATCTAGCTTGATGTTCCCACAACAATGAAGCCGCCGCTTAACGATGAAGTTCTCGGGATGTAGCCCAGCCATTTAGGGGCACGTGACTGTATAATTTTAAGCTCCTAGGTGAGTCCAGTGTGCAGCCAAGGGTGAGAATTACTGCTTGTCTGGGAGAAGCATCAAGCATGGGTTAGCCGTTAGTTAAGCTGAGTAACCCCTGAGTTTTTGAGTTAGCTTAGTGTTTTTTAGCTTCTCTGACAGTATCTTTTAATTGCAGCAAAGATAAAAATGGGGAGGTGTTTTATTTTCTCAAAATCAAAAAGGAAAAGTTAGTGAGGACTGATGGATTCTGAAGTGTGCTCCAATTTAGATTTGGGGAGATTTAGTCCAGGGATTGCAGAAATGGTTATGAAAATTTTTGTGCCTGTGTACATTTCCCTAGGAGGTTTGTGGCCTTCATTGGATTCTAAATGCTTTATACTCTACTAAAATAATCAGGAATCCCAAATTTATTTAATTATACACTAGACTAACCAATCTTATTTAAATTAAAAACTAGAGGCCCGGTGCATGAAATTCATGCATGGAGTGGGGGTTGTCCCTCAGCCCAGCCTGCACCCTCTCCAATCTGGGACCCCTCGAGGGAGTCTCATAATCCCTCACAATCCAGGACTGCTGGCTCCCAACTGCTCGCCTGCCTGCCTGCCTGATTGCCCCAAACTGCTTCTGCCCGCCAGCCTAGCCTGATCACTCCCTAACCACTCCCATGCCAGCCTGATTGATATCTAACTGCTCCCCTGCCAGCCTGTTTGCCCCCAATTTCCCTCCTCTGCTGGCCTGGCCACCCCTAACTGCCCTCCCCTACAGGGTTGATCACCTCCAACTGCCCTTCCTTGCAGGCCTGGTCCCTCTCAACTGCCCTCCCTTGCAGGCCTGGTGCCTCCCAACTACTCTCCCCTGCTGGCCATTTTTTGGTGGCCATCTTATGTCCACATAGGGATAGGATCTTTGACCACATGGGGACAGCTATTGTGTGTGGGAGTGATGGTCAATCTGCATATTACTCTTTTATTAGATAGGATAGAAGCCTGGTGCATGGGTGAGGGCCGGCTGGTTTGCCCTGAAGGGTGTCCCAGACCAGGGTGGGGGTTCCTTGGGGTGTGGGGTGGCCTGTGGTGGTTTGCAGGCCACCCTCTCTCCCCCACCCCCCAACCCAAGTGGAGGCCCTGTATCTGGAATTTATTTACCTTCTACAATTGAAACTTTGTAGCCTGGAGTGGAGCCAAGCTCCCTGCTCACTCCAGCTGCTGCCATTTCTGTTTGGTTTTGTGTA